TGATAGACAGAGCAGACAGGCCTTCTGCAAGTTTCTGCAGCGCTTTGGCACAAGTTGTTACTGGAGAGACGCACTGGTATGCACACACACAGGATCTCTAGTGGCCCCTCCCTCCCAGAGAACTGCTCAACTTGTTCACATTAAGGTTCAGATATTTTTTACCTGTCCATATGAACCATAGGCTACTGTAACCAATTCTCCCGTCCATACTGTCAGTGAAGGGCTCACAAGGTAATATACTATTAAAGGGCGCTCCACTCATTACCAAGCCAAGCTATCCTGACTTTATGGTGCGTTCAATTTGACCTGAAGGTTGGAATTTCTGAATTCCCAGTCAGAAATTTCAACCGGAAGGCGTCCTGAACTCAGAAAATTGGAAAACTGCAAAATCCAAGATGGCTGCTCTGTGCATTAGCAGGAGTGAAAGCTGTAGTAATATATTGCTTATTACACACAGAACTGCCCAACTTCTATCAGTGGAAATGTTGCTAAAATACACCATCATTTGTAACCTATTTTCAAGCTCAGGCCGAGGTAACCCTGAGGACGTCACTGTGTCATCAGACGGTCAACGCTGTTTGTTTCCTGTTTCCATCCGACAGCCAACGTCGCTTCGTTTAATCATTATCATGATCACGATTGTTCTTTAACCACGTTATTATTGTAAACAAGACGAAGAAGCTTTCATGAACCTTTTTTAATGAAGTTTTTATTTGAACCCAAACTGTTATTTTTGCACTTAAACCAAAGCTTAATCACAGCATTGTCACGTCATAAAACCTATTTATTTTATCAGATTTATTTTTTATTTGAACAGCTTAGAAGTCGCAGACGAATGATGCTGTCCTGTTGATGGGACATGAGATCAGAAAAGGTTTGTTTTTCTAGAGGACCAAAGGTGTATTTTGTCATTTAATTTGAAGGACTTGTGAGTAAAATCTGTGGATTTTACCTTTTTTAATTTTGGGTTTTGAACCACAGGTAAACGTGAATAAAATAAACGCTTAAGCCTTTGAAAACACCAGGAACAACGATGGAAGTAAATCCAGGACTTTAATGGCTCCGTTTATAACAAACATGATTTATTGAATTTCATAAATGTTTTCCAATATTGTCAATAAACCAAACAAATCATTCATCAAGCAGTTGAAAGGAACTCTACAACACTGCACGTGGTTGTGTAGTCAGTAGGCTAATCGTCATATTAAAGCCTTTAATTGAAACAGTCCCTGCTCCTCTGAATTTGGCTGCTGACTTCATCCAGTTGTCACCTTCACCAACGCGGCCTCCAGCGTCAGCCTCATGAAATGAATCCACGCTGTGGTGCTGCATTTAGCAAAGGCTGTCAGCTCGTTGCCTCACGCAGGCTCCAGTCCAGAGGTGGCTGAGTCTGTTTGGACGGGGCCTGGCCGAGGAGCTTAGGCTGGCAACACCAGCAGCATCTCTTAGATTACGTCTCTGCACTCGAGCTTTTATATAAATCATTCAGATTTACTGTTTGACTCAGATATCTGCTTCACAGCTGAAACAATTAGACAATGAGTCAATTGATTTTGAGCCAAATGTTCTCTGGTTTCAGCTTCTGAATGTGAGGATTTGCTGATTTTCTGTGGTTTATATGATATTAAACTAAATATATTTGGTTTTTGAAAAGAAAAATACATTTTTTTCACTGTTTTCTGACATTTAAAGGAAAGAAAATCGAGAAAACATTTATCAACATTCAACAAATTGCCAATAATTGAGTGCAAATCCATTCCCAGGTAAAACAACTCCCCTTTCTTCACCCATGTGTGTATTCATTCATGTGCACAGTAGGAAAAAGACAGGATTGACCTGCGAGAGTTGTGACGACGTCAAAAGAAGTTTCTTGGACGTCTTTTTCCCTGATTCCGTTGTCTCGTTAAAGAGAAGAAGAAATGCCACGGCGAGCTTTAAACTGCATTCTTGTGCTCAGTTAATTGGCTCCATGCTGATGGAGGACTTTGGCTCATTGCACCAGTAGCACCAGTGTGTGTGTGTGTGTGTGTGTGTGTGTGTGGCAGCTCCGGGTCTAGTGTGCATATTGAAACGAGCAGCAGCTGCAGCATCTGATTATTTAACGCTCTGCACACCGTGAAAACACAGAAGACTTCCTCATAGTTTGAATTCCACGCTGACAGATTTTTAGTGACGTGTTTTTGACTCCTCTGCAGACTGGAGCTGAAAGTCTGCCTTTGATTATGTAAGAAATGTCTTGTTTGAAGTGGCTGCAGCGTCTTTAGACTGGGAGGAGGATGTGTGGAGAGGCAGCAGGGTGTGGTGGACATCCTGGAGGTGTGAAAACAAAGATGGAAAATGTGACTCCTAAACATGTGTATCTGTAGCTGCTGAGGCCCCGTGCGGACGGGCCCCTGCAAGATGTTTCCCCTCCAGCGTTCAGACGGAGGGCAAAATGGAAAACAGGGCTGCAGCGTCAGCCGCTCCACTGCAGGGCCGGGCCCACATTAGAAAAGGTAGAGCCGGTCTGTGGCCACCGGGGGCTGGGAGGCTGGGCGAGGACTCGGAGAGAGGGAATGATGAGGAAAAGTAGGTCAGAGATACAGAGGCAGTCGAGCATGAGAGCAGCATCCTCGTCTCTCAGCTGAGCTACAAGCAGCGCTGGTGAGCGAGCAGCACCGCACAGCTTCAGACACAACCCTTTGTTTGTGGCTTTTATCTGGTTTAGCACCGAAACGATGAGCAATTAGCGAAATGACATAAAATTAATGAACAGTTTTGAAGGAAAAATGCTAAATATACACATTATGCACTAAACATGCTCAGACGATACAAGCAGGTTGAACATTTCGTAGATAAACCCTTTAACATCCACGCTCCCTGAAGACACCATATGTTTACAGCTTAGGTTGCATTCTGTGAGATGCAGTAGAGCTGAAACAATAAGTCCATTGATCTGGGGCTGCAGATGAAGATTATTTTCATTATGATGTTCATTTTGTCTGTGAATCGGGTCGTTTGTTTTGCTTGGTCTGTAAAATGTCAGTGACAAATGTTCATCACAGTTTCCCACATTCATAGAAGCTTCAGTTTGAAATGATGTAAAATAGAGAAAAGCAGCAGATCCTGACATTTTTAGAAGATGGAAGCAGAAAACCAACATTTTTTTTTTTACAGCAGATTAATAATTTATCTGGGTCTGGATCTGGATTCTGAAATGTGAGGATTTCCTGCTTTTCTTTGTCATTTATGATGAAGATCGTTGGGTTACTCCAGTTGCTTTCTCTGCGATTGATTGATTAATGTACAGCTGTAACTAATGATTATGTTCATTATAATTTAATCTGTAGATGATTTCTTTGATTAATCTAATGAGGTTTGATAAATGTCCAGAAATAAAGGTATTTAGTTTAAACTAATGTAAAAAGCAGAAAATCCTCAGATTTTAGAAGATGGAAGCAGAAGTTTTTTGACATTTTGGTTTGGTTTAATGACTATAATAATTAATCATTTATCAAAACTGATTATTGATTCATTTTTGGCTGATTAATTAACTAATTGTTGGCTGAAAAGCAACCATTTTGACACCAGATTGATTTAAATCATTTCTCAAGCAAAAATGCCAGAAATTCTCTAGTTCCAGTGTCTGAAATGTAAAGATTTCCATGTTTTCTTCTTCTAATATGAAACTAAACTGAACATCTAAATGTTTTCTACTGTTGATCCAACAAAACAAGCAACTTAGAAGACATCACCTCGGCCTATAAGATCCTGTTAGGGGCTTTTTTGACTCTCTTCTGATAGATTTTATAGACTAATCAAGAAGATAATCAGCAGATCACTCAATAATGAAAATAACTACATTTCCCATAATACAACTATTTGTGTTTGACCATCCCTTCATGGTAAATCCACAGGTCTTTGTAACTCCAAACCTCCTTTTCTAAAGCAAACTGAAATAAATGAATTTGTAAAGTCAAGTTGAATCTCAGATAATCCTGATGACGTCACTGTGACATATTAAGGTTTCATTTTTCAGACTTGACAAAAACTCCAAACGTCCATTTCTATATTTTGCTCCGCTTTGGGTCATCACACTTTGCAAACACAGAGTTTCAGCCTGCATGTCTTGCTGCATGCTCCTGGAGCTGTGTCAACATCCTCTGTTGACCGTGCTCCTTGCAGAGCCGGGGCCTGTGCCAAGATTACATTTTCACACGCCCCTTAGAAGGACAAGCTGCATCAGCAGACCTCTCAGCCCTTTCCCCCTCATGAAGCTGCGACAAAGAGCGCTGTCACGTTCCCTTTCTGCAGCAGGTGAAATTTGTGTGCTTCTGTTTTGTCCCGAAGCAAATTATCAAGAGGGTCTGGCCCCGTCTGCGTCAGCACAAAGACTGAAGAACTGGTGTCCTCATGAGAATAAAAGCTCTATAGTTTGTAGAGCTGTTAATGGCGTTTTGTTCTTTACATTAGCATCAAACCAACTCCTGTAAATATAACCATGATAAAGACTAATCTATATTTCCTCTGTACATACACTTATCAGCTGAAGGACTCGGTTCTTATCAGCCTTGAGTTTGTTTGCTCTCTAACCGCCCGAGCTCCCGGATGCAGAGTGAACGAACTCTCAGAGGGATTGTCTGCGTTGGCAAGGGTGCAGCTCTCGTCTTGTTTGGATTCTGTCATGTGTAATGCTACAATGGGAGTTTTGTCCGGGAGCTGTGTGTGAGGACTGAGAGTACGCTATTCATCAGACTTTCTATGGGACACACAAATGTCACTCTACCATTGATAAGATATTGGGACCTCCCCCTTTTTTTAAAAAAAAAAGAAAAAAAAAAAAAAAGAAAAACTCTAGAACTGGTTTTGTTTATATTTTTGTTAGTGACAACAAATCCCACAAAAAGCTTTAAACCAACAATGCATTAGTCCGTCTCCCAGCGCTGTCCATCTTACTTTCCCCGCCTGTGGCTCTCAGCCTCAGAGTTGTTGGGCAGATAGGTCTGGTGTTGTGCTGACTGACGGCTGCCTGCCTGTTTGGAGTTTTCTATGCAGGATTGAGATTAATGGGAATGGGGATGTCATGTTCCTGTGTCACAGCCAGAAAAGTGAGGAAAAATAAGGCCATGAAAATGTCGACAAGCGTGGGAGAAATCAGTGCCGCTGTGCAGGTTGATGTGAGTCAATTTAAAGAAATAACAACTCCTAACAAACACTAAGTTATCTGCTACTAACGACCGCTACTCATGTGCCAGCTGAAAACAACGGTGGCGGGATGGATGAGCGACTTGCTGCTGATTGGCTGGACTAAAATTAACAACGCCTACCAAACAGAAACTGGCTAACATGAACTCAACGTAACGGCAAATCCGTCCGCTCCCTTGTCTGAAGTTGTAAATCTTTAAAAGCAGCTCACAAATATGTAATTTAACTTTTTTTTAAAAAGGCTAATTGATTTCCCAAAACAGCTGGGCACTGCAATTTTTAACAAACGTAACTCAAACAGGAGAAAATATTGTATTTGTTGGGGACTATTTTCAGTGGCGGATTAATCCACGTTTGGTGCTCTAGTGAGTATTTCCAGCATCAGGACAGTGTGTGTGTGTGTGTGTGTGTGTGGGACTGAGTCAAAGTAAACTGCAGCGTGTGTTTATGTTAATGAAGGAATATGTCACCCAGTGCAACAGTACGGCTCATTGATATGTTTTTAATAGTTTCTGGAAACAGAGGCGCTCTATGGCTCAGTGGAATAAGATATAACAGGCTCTGGACACACAGATAACACTTTGTTGGTTTGGGTATTTTGTGGACAATAATGTTTCCATATTTATCCTTTAACATTTTATATTTTCACTTGAGTGTATTTTTGCTTGCTTTCCTTTTTAAAGTGTTTTTAGTTTCCACTTATTCCAATTCATGACGTTTGTGCTGAGCGTGGAATGATGTGTAAAGAGCCAAGGTCAGGAGATATGAAGGTACACAGAGGAGAGGTCACATAGCTGAGCCAAGTGCAGCTTTAGACTAGGTTTTATAGGGTGGAGTAACCACAGCAACACTTTAGGCATTGCCCTCTGTAAAGAGACAATTGCATCAGGTGCAGTCACACAGCGCTGCAGTGGTGTTAAACAAGAGCTTAAAGAGGAACAGTTTAGGAGGAAGTACGCGGATCCTTTACAACAACACAACAATAGGTTACTACATTACAAGTACAAGTCCTACATTCAAAATCCTACTATACAGAAGTATTGCAGTGCAAATAAATCCACTTCAAATATGAGAAATAAAAGTACTTGACTCCTGATGTGACAGATTATTATAAATAACATTAGATTTTGGATACAGTTAGCTAATATTTAGTGATCTAGTGCCTCCAACAACATAAATCTGAGGTGTCATGAGATGTTTAATTGGAGAGAAAAGAAGATAAAACAAAGATCTGACACACAAAGAAGTTTAAATTCTTTAGACTTTTTTTGATATCTTCTTCTTTTGGCCTAAAAGAAGTTATAGGTATGTTTTGCTATTTCTTCATAGCTAACATTAGCATTAGCAGCTGTTAATTTACTAGTCTTGGCAAGAGCTAGACAGTGACTCGGGCAGGGGCTAGCTGGTTAGCATGCAAACTTCAGTAGAAGAAAATAAGCTATAGAAATAAAAGCAAAACAAGAGTTAAAATTAGTGTTTTAAATTGCTGGAGACAGCTCTTGGTGAGTAAAGGAATAAAGTTTGATGCTGAACTTGCAACGTTTCCTCTAGACTGGTAAGTAAACAGCTGCTAATGCTAATGTTAGCTATGTAGCTATAGCAAAACTTACAAATAGCTCCTTTATTGACCAGCCACAGTTAAAAACGGTAGAATGACATATTCTCAGAGCCGCTAAACAGTTATTTAAGAGGAGAAAAGTCTGTGATAACAGATAACAACTTATAGACAAACAAGACAAGGGGTCTCAGCTAGATGCTATTTTGTAGGTGCCCACAAGCCAGAAAGGATGGTAGTCACATTTAAAAATGTGTTGCATTTACATATATTTTTTAAAATGTAAAATCTTAATTTGTAAAGTGACACATCAATATATCTCTCTCATAAAATCTAGTATAGTAAAAAGTACAATATCACCCCCTGAAATGTAGAGGAGTGGACTTTTCACCACATACAGAATACAATATATAAACAATGCAGTTTCAATTCTCCAATTTTGGTCCATGATAATTTCATATACTAATGGTGTAATGTATTTTTTGTTTGGTGCAGGCTTTAAGCAGCACCTCAGAGAGATTAAACAGACCCGTGTTTATGTGCCAAAGTGGGCATGAGGGTGAAACTAAAGATCAGGAGCCGGTAAATCTGCATCGCCATACAAACACAGAAAGAGCAGTTTGGATGCCGAGACTGATTATGCCATAAGCTGTCTGCACTGGCTCGGGTTATAAGTTTGTGTATGTGTGTGTGTAGTGTGTAATAGTGAAAGTGATTGTGTGAGAGGGCAGTGAAAAAAAAAATATGATTCAAGCTGAAAACTACTGATGTAACCAGAGGCTTGGGTTTAATCCGATATGTAATCCTCTTTTTATGAGATTTGACGCAACTCGCATCTCGCCTGTTGAGGGAGCATGTCAGGACAGTAACGTCCACTTCCTGTGGTACAGTATGCAGTATTGGCATCTTCATGAGTCATTCTGTGCTGAAATATGGCGGTGAAGTGCTGCACAAGTTTTGTCACAGGTCAAGCGGGTCCCAGAGGTTGTCAGGGGGTGTTTAGAAAGTGAGGACGGCGTGCACATGAGCAGGAGGAACTATTTTTATCTATGGGGCTGTAACATGAAGCGCCGACCCCACGTCAGGATGTATAAATAACTGGTTTTCACAGACACAGTGTCTGTTTACATTTGGAGGTGACGGACTGGGTTGTGCACCGGAAGAGTGAGAAGTGTCCATGAAGTGCGCCATCATTATATTTAATCTTTAAAACCAGGTGTTTGTCCTTGTTAACTGGCTTGCATGTTACATTTCTTAACTTGTCATATAACACAGTAATGAGACACTTCCTGTCCTGATCATCAGTCATTGATGTTGCTCTGGGGTTGTGCTCCTCTGCAGCCTGACCTGCGACTGGCAATGGAGTACGCGAACAACGCCTCGAACAGCTACAGTTCTGGAGACCCCATGAGCGCCTCCTTAGCCAACATGACCATCAGTGACCAGCACCACCAGGAGAACGGGGTCCAGATGGGACACAGAAGCCCTGGAGACACCAAAATGAAAGGTCAGACATGGGAAATACAGACAAACTGGTGCCATAAAGCCCATAAAGAGATGATTCCTTAAGTTAATGTTTTCCAATGCTGTGAAGGTAAACATGGCAGATACAGAGATAGATGACGCATCATTAGCAATGTCTTCCTATCATATTGTCATTACAGGTGAGAGTGACTGGCTGTTATAACAACAGTAACAGACATTTGTCATTTGTCATCAAACTCTTCAATAACTAATTATATTGTGATTAAAGTATTAAGTTATTAACAAAAATGTGGAGAATGATCAAATCATATGATTCCACTGACGGTTCAGCTTCAATATAACAGGAGATACACAACTGTGACACGTCGCACGTAAAAATACACACAGAATGTTAATATATGAACATGACTGAGCAACATTAACATAGTAGAATCTGTGACATCAGCAGCGTTTGTAGCATAAAGGAAAAAAGAGGAGTTTTAAATCTGCTGCTTCCTGAATTTGCATAAGGAGTTTAACTCAAAGAAGTGGAGCCTGATGAGCAAAGAACCTACTGCTGAAAGTTTTTTTTTAGCAAATCTTGGAGCAGTTAAATAACTGACATGAAGAGAAGGTGAAGGTCGTGATACAGTGTAATGAGATGGAGCTGCAGGAAGGAGCCAGTTCATTTAAAACTTTGTAAGTCTGGACCAGATGAAGATCGATGATAATAATGACAATAATGACAATAATGACAATAATGACAATAATGACCCCGCCCAGACATGATTTTATCATAAACAAAATGTACATTTAAAATTTAATAGAAACCTCCAATTTAGCATTTATTAGCTGAATATAAACATTTATATACATGATAGTGTTGTATAAACAGATAATGAATGACAATATAATATAACATAGTTTTAATTATTAATAATGTAATAAACTTTATTTGTATAGCACTTTTAATACAAGAAATGTGGTGCAAAGTGCTTCACATGAGAAGAGATAAAATGAACATGAAAACATTTAAAAACATTCATGTAAAATGAGATGGAATAATAATACAATATTAAATCATTTAAAATAATAATAATGATAATTAAAATAAATTAAAAAATAAAAATAATTACTACATAAATGCGTCGTCTATTGTACCATACATTATTAAGAAGTAGTAGAAGTAAAAGGTCTCCTTATATCTGATTAAAACTACATTATGATCTGTTTTGAACCATTGATTACAGTAGGTGATGAATAGGACCCAGCTGATATGTGGGTAAACGTTGGGATCCACAGGTTAAAGGTCAACTCAACCCTCTGTCAAGTCTCTGTGGCTTCATGTTGGAGCTTCAATCCCAGGAGATGATCTAAAAGAGAAAACGTCCTCGCACAGTTTCCTAAAAGTCAGTGTAGTCTGTGTGTAAAGAGCCGGGGCAGAGGCCGGGACCCAGAGTTTCTACTGTGCTTTGTTTTAATCCCTCTTTACATAATGGATACAAGACATGCTTGACTGGGCCTGAGTGCCTGACTGCAGCTGCACTGTGCTCTGTAATCCAGGCATCTGGGTCAGAGCCCTCAGAACGAGCCCTGTCTCCGTCCTGAGCCACTGTTCGCTCCCAATTCAACTCATAAACAATCAGGCTTTGAACGCAGCACAGAAAACATCCACTTTTTAGGGAGGATGATATTTGAAGACTAGGAGGATTATTACTGTGAAAACCAGCAGATAAATGTCGAGGGGAGTGGTTTGTTTGAGTTAGTAAAATAATAACCGTCCTGACAGATTGTGCTCAGCTTGTAGCTGATCATCAGTTTCAGGCCTGTTTCCCTCTTTCTTACCCCCCGATCAACCATATGGCCAATTAGTACGTAGCCTAGCGTTCCCCAGTTTACAGCCCTCACTAGTGCAGTCGTTCTCCCCGTTCCCGTTCTCCATCGTCTCGTACGCAAACAGGAAGCGGTGCGCAGGGTCAGGTCCGTCCGCAGAGGTAAACAGCAGTGAAGCACACAGTGAGTATCTGATTGGTCTGAGTAGGAGACATAGCCAAGTAGTGCAGCAGTAGTATTTGTAGTGTGAGGTTAGTGGTGTGGTGAAGGTTTGTTTGAATGAAGTGTGGAACTGTATTTGTGTTTTATGGGTTTAAAGACGGTTTAGTTATTTCATGTCTGAAATATACAAAATATAACCTTGAATTCTACGGTGGCCCTGAGGGCCCAACGCACTGCAACTTCAGAAAACACAAACGATTTCAGAAAACATCTTCATCAATCTGACAACACGTGTGCTGCAGATACACACAACACAACAGAAGCGTTTCCAGGGGACACTAAAAGGTGATGAACCCGGCTGGGACGCACTTGCATGGATGTCTTATGATACACCCATGTGCACTTATTGTTGGATGTTTTTATCTTCAAAAGTCACAAAGCGTTGAACAAGTGCGTCCCAGCATGGTTCAACACTTTTTAGTGTCATTCCTTTGTGTCCCTGCACAGCGCACGTGTTGTCAAATTGATGAAGACACCTGTGGTCACTTGTCTACAAATATGTGAAACAATAACAACAGTTCATTCAGGTAAATTCTCATGTACAGGAGCTTTTCCTGCTCTCCTCAGTAAACCGGGCTGAGCAGAGGTCTGATCAGCTGTAACTGGAAACACCTGTAGTTGTGCACAGAGCTGCAGTGAAGTTTGTATGATCACCATTTTCTAAATGGGTCCCACCCACCAGAAAACTTTGGCGGGAAATAATATGTTCATGTCGGACCCCCGTGATGATTGCATGACTGCAATGTAGTGACAATTTAGTTCTGTATTTATATATCAGGTTAATGTGGGTTTGATTGCATCTAACGACTTTGGCTGATGTGAGGCATCTGTGTTTGGTTTTCAGGCACTTCAGTATCATTAAGGGTCAATATTTTGGATTTATTTTAGATTCTCAATTTTGGATCTTTACATCAGCACTGTTAAAATTGGAATCTGGTAATTACGGTAACTCAGATGTGACTTGAACGGCCCTCAGAACCAGAATACTGAGACTGTAGTCCATCAATAACAGTGTTGTTGTGTTCATGTTGTAATACAAGACTTGATCTTAATTATTTTTTAAATTTTGATATTTTATTACAATTTAAATGTGATATTTTCTATGTTTTATATGATGCATTACAGTTACACAGTACAACCCTGATTTTATGTGACTGTAGTGGAGGTAAATCAGTCTGACTGGGTGGGAAATGATCAGCTACATGAATTTCACATTAATCATCCTCGATATATTGTCACATTATTTTAAAAATCAAGGTATTTGCTCAAAAATGTGTGTCATATATAAACATGCAGACTGTTGCTGAGGTTTTAACCATTTAACTTTTTATTTCCCAGCTCACATGAACATCAGATGTGCATGATTTCACCTGTGTCTCCTGCCGTTGTCAGTTTCCTTCATGATCAGCCTCGAGCTTGACTCCCAGTTTACCTTTAATCCACAGACAGCGAAGCAGCGCTCAGTGAGAACGGCCTGAAATCTGTGTCTGAACTCTCTCAGGCAGATAGCGGTGAGGACGAGGTGACACCCGGTACGCCCCCCCCCCCCAGCCTGCTTGAAAACCAAAGATTGTATTAACAAAAATTAACCCACATTTAGCATGTGTGCAGATTATCAGTTCGCTTTCTCCTTTTTTAACAAATAACCTTTCTTTGTTTTAGAGATGTTTTTGCAGAAATGTGAATCTTGGTTTGCTGATTTTCATCCACCTCACAGTTTCCCACCTCTTAACCTTCCTGCCTGTTTGTACGCTTTAAAGCTGCTAATTTGTCTGGTGTATTTATAGCCTCCTGGCACATGTAGCTGCGTTGTCACTACACACAAAGTGCAATAAGAACATGTACAATCACCACAGCCTCGCTGACTGACGTGGAAAACACCGGCTCTGTGTGCGACTGTAAGAATTAGCCACGGTCGCTCCGGTCTGGGTCAGGCCAGGCTTTGATCATAAACACTGAGAGTGACAGCTTGTCCAGAGTGGAGCTGGAGGAGGAGGGGAGCGGCCGTCAGCGGTGAAGGGGGCTCCTTGATCTGTTTAACAGCTCCTGAGTGTGTGAACATGAGAAATACCACAAGTGACCCGACACGAGGTCGGAGGAGAAGATTTAGCTGAGTAAGCTTGGAGAGGTTGAGATTTAAGGCTGAACGATTCCTAATTTCTTCTCTTGTCACTTCATCAGTCATGGAGTCTGTTATTAACTCCTGTTGTGGAGTCATATGATCTGCTACAACAAGAAAGACCTCAACAGGCTTCATCTAATCCAGAACAAGGCTGCCAGACGAGTTTTAAGATGTCCACTGTAATGGATAGTAAACACTTCACTTCACTTTGGCTTGCTACCCTGTTTATAAAGAACGTGATATTATCAGGTGCACCTCATTCATTCTCTGATCAGCTGCATAATTATCCCACTGTTTATTACGTAACTGCAGTTTGCTAATTCCTCTAGGGGTGTAATGGTGTGCAAAACTCACATTTCGGTACATACCTCGTTTTTGAATTCACAGTTTGATATATTTTTAGTACAGTGAAGGAAAAAAAGAGACATTACATTTCTTCAAATTTATTGTGAATTTCACTTGTAAACATAAATGTGTAATTGTAAACTTGTAAACTTGTAACCCAGTGGCAAATATAATTAGACATAATTATAATATATAATAATATAAATATGATAATAATAAAATTAAGATCCATTAAAGTGAAGCATTTTTTTTTTCTGATAGCCACAGTGAGAGAGGGAATACGACTTTATTCGCTAACGTGTCGTAGACTGGCCATCAGAACACAAAATGTTATGCACGTAATGGTTACGCATGGTTAAAGCTAGATTCTATTCATTTGGATCACAATGCGAACTGATCCGGACATCCTGTCCCGAACGGCCCAAATACCTGTACTGTTACATCCCTAAATTCCTCATTGTGAACTTAAAGCTGCTTGGAATACTGCTGCTTCTTGGTTGACTGTGTTTAAAATGATGCTACCTTCTCCTTTTTTCTTTTTTTTTTTTTTTTTTTTTTTTTTTTAACTATTTGTCTTTTATCATGTATTTTAAGAGTATGAACTCCAGGAAGATTAATACCTGCCATGGTGGAAGCTAATGTGGATCCACGTAAATAAACTGACTAACATGTATTTATCCCACAGCAGCAGAGACATTTGCAGAGACGGGTGGTGTCGAAGCTGTGTCTGAGCTCTCAGAAATGGAGCGCACCTCGTGTGGAGATGAGGGGCAGCTTGGTACGCCGTCTGTGTTTGAGCTGCTTGCCTCTTTTTTTCAGCTGCTTCTGCCTTCATTTTGTTTTTCTCGCATCTTTTCTTCAGAATAGTTTGACATTTTGTGAAATATATTCACTTTCTTGCCAAGAGAGAGAGGACTGATACCACGATCATGTCTGTATGATAAATATGAAGTAGCTGGTTAGCTTAGCTTAGCTTAGCTTAGCACAAAGACTAGAAAGATGTGGAAACAGCTAGCCTGGCTCCGTCTGTCTGTTATTTTCTCTATTAATTGATGAATCATTTTCTCTATAAAACATCAGAAAACAGTGAAAAAAGAGCACAAGCTGACATCCACAACTCAAAAATAATGAGTTAGCAATAATGTAAGGCCAAAAAAAAAAGCAGCAAATCTTCACATTTGAGAAGCTGGAATCATTAAATGTTTTGTATTTGTGCTTGAAAAACAACGTTATTGATTGTCAGAATAGTTGCGGATGAATTTTCTTTCAATTGACTGATTAATTAATTGACCAGGGGATTTACAATTTGAAATGCACCAGTTAAATTGACACTTACTAGTCCCAGTAAAGCCCTGTTACTTCACCAGTCTAGGAGTCGGCCTGTTCACTGTCTCACTGGGACTGTGATGGAAGACTGAGACCAGTTTGCTATGCCTTCACTGGACACACTGGTGTGGATGTGTTGGCTTTTTACATCTTATTTTCTATCTCTACATGCATTGAAACACAATATGTGCTGAGAAACGGAAATTAAATCTGACTAACGATTGTTTTCCTTATCAATTAGTATGTTGATTATTTCCTCAATTAATTTATTGATCATTTAGTCTATAAGATGTTAGAAAATTGTGAAAAATGTCCATCCCAGTCCAAGGTCACATCGTCAGATGTCTGTTTTATATCTGAATATCTGACCTTTGGACGGTTGGTTGAACAAAACAAGTGAAAAACAGCAAATCAATTAACATGTTGTATCTTATTTTTTTAAAAGGCACAAAAACCAATGTGTAAAAAGGACAATTTCTGATTTTACACTGGGTTTTGTACCGGACTATTTCTTGGCCGGGAGCAGTAACTTCCTGTCGTCATCTTTAAGTTGCCAAGCTGCCAAGAAATAGTCCCCCTCCATGAAATCACAAGTTCTTTGTTACACTTCAGCTTTCTTTCACATTGAACACACGAGATATAACATGTTCATTAGAGAGCTTTAGCCAGGCTACCCGTATCCCTCTGCTTCCGGTCTTTGTGCAAAGCTAAGCTAACTGTGGTTTCATATTGGGAGTTATATAGATCGTCTCATCTAACTCTAATCACACAAGTGTATTTTCCAACATGTCAGACTGTTGCTCTAAGTTTCATGACCAAACCTTCCTGCTGCTCTTGTGTTTGTCCTGACTGTAAAATGAAGCTTCTTTTTCTTTCAGCATCATGGTTGGAAAAAACACTTTGTTTGGCTTTGTTTTCCCCTCGGCTTCCTTCTTTTCATTTTTATTTTTTCATGCTTGCTCTGACCCTTTATACTCTGACTCCTCTCAGAGCTGCAACATGATCATGAGCAGACTCCAGAGACAAATATGTCCTTTTTTTTTTTTTTTTTTTTTTTTTTTTTAAAACAAAAAGATGGTTACATCCTGGCTATTTCAGAATGAAAGCACTGGCCAAACCACAGGCAGATTTAAGACTCCTGTGATCTGTTAAACAGATGCAGCGCTCCCGGTCGAGAAGGACGCCAGAATAATGTTAAAAACAGCTGAAGTACCACATGGAGCACCAGCTTAGGTGTGGTACTGCTGCACCAAGCAGGACTTAAATAAAAACCGCTCTGTGCCTTTGCATATTCATCCCTATGATTTTGAATGATATATTTATCTAACTGTTATTTGCTTTGGGCTTTTGTGCATTAACTGAAGAGGCGCTGTATGTGGGCTCTGTATTGATTTCTTCGTAGTGAGTGTATTAATCAGTCGTGAATGACAGGAACTCATTACTGACCGTGCTCTCATGTCTTTCCATCTGTCTCATCATGTTCAATCAGCAGCAGGAGGAGCAGCTTCAACAGGTAGGCTGCTTTATGTTTTATTGATTGCACTCAGGCTGTATTTATTTACTGCAGGAGATAGATATGACTACACTTAGAGTAACAGGTGGACAGAAGCAGCTGTTGTCTGCTGTCAGGTTATTATAGTGTGTTCCTTAAAGATTTATTATATTGTTCTTGGATCAAAGAGTCTGAGTGTCCTGCCTGAATAATTATAGACTTTTTTTATGGACTCATTTAAATATAGCAGTTAATAGACACATTCATGATATAAAAAAAAAACCTGTAATTATAAATTGATTAATTAATGTTGCATTTAAATGACACATTCATAAACTAAACATAAAAAAATTTGCCATTTAGCTATTCAAATCCTTTAACTTTAAAAAGTAAATAGACAACTGTTTGCTAAGTTCCACTATATCAACTTTACAAGGTGAAGTCAGTGTTGTGTTTGTTGTGCTGCTCCCTAGTGGCCAAAAACTTCATACTTTTTTAAAATTAAAATCAGTTTTAGATTCACTTTTGTGATTCCATTTTAATTCAATAATCAATTTGATGATAGAATTTTTAATTGCTAAAATGACTGTAATGTACCAACAAAAAAAAATTCATTCATATAGCACCTTTATTTAAAAAAAAAAAAATAAATAAATAAAATAAAAAATAAAGTTACAAATTGCTTTACAGTTAAGACAAAGAATAAAAGAAAAATAATAAAAACCATAATCTATAAAACGAGAAAATAATTTTAACAATTACAATAAATACCATCAGAAAATGCCAAGAGATTTAAAAGAGGACACTGCATTTACCTAAATGCCAATTGATTGAATCAGTGTATAATGGCTTTTATAAATCTATCAACTGATCTTCAAACACTGTCAAAGTTTTTATAATTATTCCCTTGGCACACTCCGGACTCCATACTGTACAGATTTTTAAAAGCTCTTCAGTATTTTTGCTTTATCAAGTTCAGAGTCTTCTGTGGAGAATGTATCATGTTGCAGAGTCAGCAGCAGAAAGACGTTGCATCACATTTTAATCACCTTGTTGCAGTGAAAATATGTCAGTGCTCTGTTGTCCATTATGTTCACTGGAATGCATCATCTTGTCTGTCACCCCAGTGTGATGCATTACTGTCCATTTCCATTTCATTTTATTTTAATGTGAACTCAAGTATATTCTTAACAAACCAACCACCATTAATCACCTCTCAGTTCATGAGTCCTGCATATCGCCTTTTATAGATCTGTCTTTTTTTTTTTTTTTCCTGGTTAATGAAATACAAGAGTCTTTTATTTTCCTTATGGACATCCCTTCTTTATTTTTTGTTTCAATGGGGAGATGGCAAACAAGTGCTGTGAATGTCATCATTAATCTGCTTTCCAAACAAATTAGCAAAGCCTGGCACTGGAGTCCACAGTGAGTTCGTGTTTGCGGGCGATGGATCAAAGCCTGCTGTAGACGGAGCCGCCGGGGAGGGCGTTGACTTCATGGGAGCTTCCTGCTCTCAGGACCCAGGAAACGAGGCGGTGGGAGAGTGTGGGAAGAGGCTGAGTGACTCTTTATGGGCCTCTGAAGACCTCAGCAGCAGGTCAGAGATTAGACGGGATGTGCAGGCCGGCAGGGGGAGCCCGGAGTGGGCCGGAGCTGTGGACCCTCAGAGGGCGATCAGCCTGGATGCCTCCGAGTGCCTGACTGAAATGAACAACCCGTCCTTAGTCAGGAGCACAGCCGTGGAAGACCTGACATCCATCGGAGACCGAAAGTTGTGGGTTAATCAAGGCCAAGAACAAATAAAAGATGGAGTGTCTTGTGATGGAGCAGCTTTAAAGTCCTGCAGTGACTCTGGAAGCAGAAATGTCGCTCCAAAAACACAACAGACCCCTCAAACCCAAAGCCTGTCACAATCTAGCTTTGATTCCCATCCAGAAGATCATCCAGCAAACAGCAGTAGGAACATTTCCGAGAAGGAGAGCCTTTTTACCAAAATGCCATCTGACACGGCAGCTGAAAACAGCAGCGGTGACTCATCGTTGCATAGGGCCAGCTATTCAAAGCCTGACATTTCTAATGACTCAGAGATGAGGAGCAGTGTGGCTCAGACCACCGGCACCGCTGAACTCCAGAAAACACCCCCCCAAAGCTCTCCAGCCAGAAAGTCTCTGGTGCCGGTCGCTATTTTCAAAGGTCTGTTTGCTGTCATGTTCACCAGTTCAGAACCAGCCCTCCTCAGTTAACTCCTTCCACTTGTTTGATTTATAACGCAGCTTCTGCCGTATGTTATGCAGCACTCTCCCTCTGAATTTTTTCTATGGACGGTAACTTTGACCTGAGGAGAAGCTTGTCCTCCCTCCCCACTTTAGCTTTTTGTTTCATCTCTCCATCTCTGCTCACTCTGCTGGTTATGCAGCCCCCCTGAAAAAGCCACTTTATTGATTTCTACGTGCACTATGTGTACATTACGGGTCACGTTGCATGCCGCCACACCCTACATCACCACTTTCACTTCATTTATTTTTGCCATGTGAATGTAAATAGACACACACTTGGAAGCAAAAGTCGTATTTTATTTCACTCGAGTGGATTTAAAGGAGAAATTCAAATTCAAATTTAAAGCCCATTTCTCTCTCTTTTCTGTAGCTCAAGCAAAGATGGATAATGGCTCCTCGGACAAGGTATGTGACCAAAAGCTTTTGTGAAGTTGTCTCTCATTTCTTTACATTTAAAGGATCAATCTTATTTATTAAAACTTTGGTCTTATTTTTGTAGGTTTATCCATCTTTAGTTTTAACTTCAGATAAATAGGTCTTCATTATCTGGCTAAACTGTTAACTTGTTTACAACCTGCCTCATCATCTGACTGCTCATGTTTTGAGACTGTGCCCATCAGAAAAACAGTATTAGCTGTTTGTCTAAAATGATGAGGACCTCTAGTGGTCATCTGAATTGTTACTGTCGTCTGTCAGGAGCAGAGATGGAAGATGTGTCATGTCGTTATCAGTTATTATGGAAACGGCTAGGCTAGCTCTGTCCAAAGATAAGAAAATTCATCTACCAGCACCAGACTGTTCCTGGAGTCTTCCTGGAAGACACTATTGTAGTAAATTCTCACTAAAATATACTATGCATTATAAATATACTGAATGTGAAACTTGTATAATCCAATGGAATAGCTATAATAGCTATAACTGAGGTTAGATTTGTATGTGAACCAGCCTTTACCAAAGTAAGATTGTTATAGAATGGAACCTGGAGGGAATAAAGTTTAAATGGTCTGAAGGGCCCTGAGAGCAATGGTGTTGGAGTAGCAGCTGTAGCGAAGCCCAGATTGAGAATAGACGAGGGCCTTAGGGTTAGGGTAGAGGGGAGGCTTTTGGATGCCTGTCGCTACTACAATGCCTTGGCACAGGAGTCGTAGTTAGGGTAGACGAGAGCCTGGCCAAGAAATTGATAAATAAATATATATAAATGATGCTGGATGGAAGTTAATTGTATCTTATTTAACAGACAGAAACAACAGTGGTAACAATCTTCCCCTCAGACCTTTTTCGCACCTAAACAAAGCTTTATTGTAGCAGTTGCAGCTGTCATGAAGACAATATTCCATGGTTCCTGTTTTATAGACAGAAATAAGAGTGGTATCAATCTTCTCCTCTAACTGAAGCAAATAAACATGTTTTCCAAAATATTCCTTTAGGTGATTAGTATTTGTCCCTAAACAAAACTGTGTCGTAGCGGTTGCAGTGGTCACACAGACAATAGTCCATTACCAACCATAAAACAGGACAGAGCCAGGCTAGCTGACTGTTTTCAGTTTTTATGCTAAGATAAGCCAATTGTCTCCAGTGTAACAGATAGATATGAGTGGTAATGAACTTCCCTGCTAACTCTGAAGCAAATAAACGAATTTCCCAAAACATCAAACTATTTCTTTAGACAAGTATTTTTTGTCCCTGAGCAAAACTTTATTGTAGTGGGTGCAGCGGTTGAAGCAGTTGCAGCGGTGATATGGACAATAGTCCATTACCAACCTTGAAGCAGGTCAGAGCCAGGCTAGATGTTTTCCCCTGTTTCTAGTCTTTATTCTAAGCTAAGCCACTTGTCTCCTGTTTAACAGCCCGAAATAAGAGAGGTATTGATCTTCTCCTCTAACTCTGAAGCAATAAACGTCCCTAAACGAAGTTTGATTGTAGCGGTTGCAGCTGTCATACAGCGGTTGCAATGGTTGCAGCTGTCATACAAACAATAGTCTGCAGAAAGAAACATATTTTTTGTCTCTAAATGAAACTTGATCATAGCGGTTTCAGCAGTCATACAGACAATAGTCTATTACCAACCATAAAAGAAGACAGAGCCAGGTTAGCTGTGTCTGACTGTTTTCAGCCTTTATGCTAAGGTAAGCTTATTGTCTCCAGTTCAGTGTTCAGACATAAGAGTGATATCGATCTATCTTGTCCCTAAACATAACTTTATCATAGCGGTTGCAGCATTTGCAACAGTTGCCATGGTCATACATCAGTAATGGTCATACCCTGTTTTTGAAGGTGACGTGTGTTTTTGTGTGTCCAGATCTAAGCTCTTACTTGGACGAGCACAGTGTTATCACAGCTGCTAGAAATGAAGTCCAGAACTACACAAATAAGACCAAAGCTCTAATAAGCCTGAAGGATCCTTTAACATCATATCCATGGGACAATTTCATTCTTTTCCATCATTTTTCATTTGTTAAATTGTTCTTCTGTTTTATGTCATTTCATTGTCATTAGAACTTTTTGTTTTTCATTCATTTTTCCTCCTTATGAAAAAGACTCAAACTGCCACCAAACCAACCTCTTCCCTTAAAAGACCATCCATAGTCACCAAAGGCAACAAAACACTTGCTTCCTCCCGAAACGGACACAGCTCCATTCCCGTTAAAACCAGCAGCACAGGGCCCAGGCAGCCCGGAGTAAGTACAGGTCTGAGTTCAGCTTAGAGTTTAGACCTGAGCTCGGTTCAGGTTTTTAGAAAAGTTTGTTTGACCCTCGCTGTTCTTGTTGATTACTGACCTACACTGAGGTTAAATGACAGTATAGTAAAAATCGAAATATCTGTGCGGTTCATTTTCAGGGTGTTGCTGGTGCAAAGTCTCAAACCCCAGGAGCCAAAACTCCTGCAAAAGCTGCAGCTCAACCAGGTACAGATTCACGATTTTACATTTAATATAAATTCTTTTTCATTTTGATTTATATCATTTTATAAGAAGTGAGAATTAAAGCTTATTTATCATGTGTCATATTTTTTGTGATACAGCTAGAGCCAAGAAACCTCCCACTCCAAAAATTGATAAAGGTAAAAATAAAGAAAAAGAAAGAAGAGCAAATTAGTAGAGATTACCTTCAGCCTCGCATGGCCTCAATGCCACAGTCTGATCCGGTCCGACCTGGATCAAACTTGGTCAGCTTTTAGCTAAGATAGCGCCTAGCTCGTCTTTATTTTTATGATTTATTATTATTCCTTTATTATTTTTCTTTCCCCTATGACCATCTACATGTTTAAAACCTTTGATTCTCCGGTTGCTTAAGATGCTCAGAGTGGACAGAGCAGCCCTGGTACTCCCAAATCCCCCTCTAGCCAAGCACTTTCTGCGAAGGCGGCAGCGGAGGCCAACAAAGTGAAGAAGATCGCGGTGGTGCGTTCTACGCCCAAATCCCCGGGCTCGATGAAGAGCCGCCAGCCGGCTCCTCTGGCCGCGGCAGCGCCGATGCCGGACCTGAAGAACATCAGGTCCAAGATCGGCTCCACAGAGAACATCAAGCACCAGCCCGGGGGTGGAAAGGTAACCTGACTCTGACTCTAACAGTGACACTGACTACACCTCATACTGCATACAGTCCAAGCCTCTGCTGCTCTGTGCAGACAAGAGTTTTAGATCCATTAGTGCTGCAATGGAGGCAGAAATATCTTATTGGTAGATTTGAACCTCACCGGGCAGATCCAGAGGTCAGCTGGTTTTCCAGAGCAGAAGCTGGACTGTGTATGGCCCCTCATTTAGACACTCACTCTCTCATTCCATGTACATTTCTTAGAGAAAAGCTAATGACATTAACTCTCATATTTAAGAAACAACAGTGTAAGATGAAATAGGATTTTTACTACAAACTTTGTGTAGAATTTGAGGAAAACAATACCCTCATGTCTGTACTGTAGGTGGAGCAGGCAACTAGTTAGCTTAGCTTTAGTCTTGCATTGCCAGGTGATTCTCCAGTGCTGTGTCAGTGCTGGAGAATGGTCTAGCTGCACCTAAAATATATATATATATATATATATGATTATATATATTATATAATATATATATGAGAGTATGTGCGAATGTTCGACTGCTAAAGGAAATGAGGAGGAATTTGATCATAATCAGGATTCAAACAGTGTCAGGTTTTTGCATGCGCTCACACACACTGCAACACACCTGACGTCCAGGCTTCACAGCTCATGTGTCAAACCATCGTCTCCACTATGTCCACATCTAAATGCTAACGTTTTCACTCTTCCAGGTACAAGTCCTTGATCAGAAGGTGGACTATAGTAATGTCCAGTCTAGGTGTGGCTCCAAAGGCAATATCAAACATGTACCCGGTGGCGGCAATGTGAGTAACTGAGGGATGAACTCAACACCAGACTCTTGAGTATCTCTGCAGTTATGATCATCAAAACCAACCTTTGGTAAAAAAAAAAAAATAAATAAAATGCTCTTTTGTTTGTGCTCTCCATGTTAAAAAATAGATGATCAGAAGATGGACATGATCACAACCTGCTCAATAATAAGACATTGAAATATTTAGGTGCATGTAGACAAAAGCCAACTGCTTTAATGCATTAAAGCTGGCATCTGTAATAAATATGATGTGTATTAAGTATGATACTGTTAATGTGCATGGATATTTTTGTGTGTTAAAGTGCAGCAAAACATGCACCAAAAATATTTTCCTTATGTGTAAACTCTCATATGATTGGAGATACCAATTGCACCTGAGCCAGTGTCATACTCTGCACATATTTGTACTTTTATGCACTTAAGTCATTAGAGTACCTGCAGTAGAATAATTTTAGCAGCTTTGTAGTCTGACAAACATGCAAAGTTGTGGATGGCAGCTTTAATGAAATGTAGTCCTCATCCCTTTAACATCTTACTTCTTCCTCTTTGGGCTGATTCCCTCCTGCGGCACTTCTCATTTTTATTTCTAAAGAACTTTTATTCTTCTTCTTGCACCGTGCAGGTCCAAATCCTCGACAAGAAGCTGGACTTAACTAACGTCCAAGCTCGCTGTGGCTCTAAAGACAACATAAAGCACACACCTGGTGGAGGCAAGGTGAGTTGTCTGAACATTAAAGTGTCAGACATGTTTGTGAGCTCATGTGCCACAGAGCAGAGCAGATATTCACAGTTTAAAATATCTAGTAAACCTTTCCTCTTCACATAGCCTACTGTATCATTTCTATATACAGTACAGCTGCATTTGATGCTTTTTTCTCTTTTTAACACAAGGTTAATTTCCTGTCATTACAGTAGTGTCACAGTTTGATGGTCTCACTCTTCACCTCTCACTGACTCAGTGGGGTAACAGTCTCTTCCCCTCGACTCTGCACTTTTCCAGGTTAAAATCCTTGATCAGAAGGTGGACTATAGTAATGTCCAGTCTAAGTGTGGCTCCAAAGACAATTTGAAACATGTACCTGGTGGCGGCAATGTGAGTAACTTAAGGGATGAACTCAGCACCAGACTTGAGTGTCTCTGCAGTTACGACCATGAAAACCAACCCTCTCAGTATAAATGGAAAGTCTTTTACTCTTTAAGGTCAAAATACATCAGAGGTTTTCAAAGTCTGACACACACAAATTTTTTATTTAAGGTACAATTTGGCAGCTTAATTTGACACTGTGTCTCCCCCTCCCCCCCCCCCCTCCCCCCCCCCCCCCCCCACCCACACACACACACACACACACACACCATGTTGATGCGAATTCTGTGCCTTTGTAATGTCAAAAAGATATTGATAGTGCAACATGTTAACATTTAATATTAATGGATCTTATTGTTGTTTTGTTGTTTTACTTTTATTTGTGGGATAATCATGCTACAAACTACAATTCCCATCATTTTGGGACTACAATTTGAGCCAAATTGTTGGATGCAGACAATTATCACTGAAATACTTTAATACTAAGTAAAATATAAATACGTGATGATTCTCAGGAGTTATAAGGAGCTTTTTTTTTATTTATTTCTAAGCAGATTTATGGATATTTATTCACTATGGAAATTGGAGTTAATGCAAATGATCTGTAAGTCACACTGATTATAAAAATATGTGTATCATGTCAGCGTGTCCTGATTTGACTGAGTTATGACTCAGTATGATTTTACTCCCTGAGCTGTTGCAGCCTCTCAGAACTGAGAACCATCATGTTTTTAAGTTTTCTTCAGTGTCAAACTGATCCACTGGTAGTTGTCTGTACATTCATGGATACATTTCACACAGGAACTACTAATAGTTAATTCGGCATAGTTAATTTTCCAAAATGTAAATAAATTAAGGCAAAAAAAAACACTGCTGCAGTTGTAGCTCGCTCAATACATGTTTTAAATCCATTCATATAAAAGAAAACCTTGAGCATTTAATATAACATTATTCAAGTGGCTTAGAAACTGTATAAACATATTTAATTATACTGATATTTAAGCTCTAATTAAAAAAAATTTACCGATGATTCTCAGATCTGTCAACACTGCTCACTTGTCTCCCTCCTCACAGTTTGAAAACCTCTGAAATACTTGACCCTGAAGGTGGATTATAGTAAAGTGCAGTCTAAGTGTGGCTCCAAAGTCACACTCAAACATGTATCCAGAGGGGTTAATGTCAGTAACTAAGGGATCTCCTCATCTCAGCAGTTATGATCATCACACCAACACTTGTTAAAAAGAGAGTGAAGTCCTTCCCCTGTCCTCTTTAAACAGCCATGTTCCCTGGTTAGCTCTCACTCCCTTGAGCCTCAAACTTGTCCCATCCAAGATCTAATTTCCTCTCCAGCAGTGGTCCTCATTCGCAGCTCTGCTGCTGCTGCTGTTGCTTCCTCCAGGTTAACCGTCTCTTTTCCCCACATATCGACTTTCCAGGTACAAATTCTTGATAAGAAGCTGGACTTAAGCAATGTGCAGTCCCGGTGTGGCTCCAAAGATAATATAAAACATGTACCCGGTGGTGGCAATGTGAGTAGATGAATAAGGGTGAGCTGCAGCTACTGCCAAAAACCCTTCTTCTTGCTTCTACTGAATGCATCTTCACAGAGGAGCACGAAACCCACTGTCTGTCCGGCCCATTTCCTCCTGACTCTCAGACCTGTTAACACCTCCTATTAACAGTCTTATCATTACACTTATGGACAGGCCTGAGCATTTCATACTGACAGCTGTACATTTACTCTACTACCAGTTGTTTAGATTTTGAAGGAGCAAGTGTAAGTTTTGCTATTGCTACATAGCCAGCATTAGCATTAACTGTTGTTTACTTACTGTGGAGGACCAGGGATGTCACAGGAAAAGTGATAAATCATTTCATTGATTTCATATTTCAATAGGCATTAAACATGGGAATTGTAGAAAGAATTTAAAAATTGAACAATTAATCGATCAATAAATACTTAAGATTTAAAAATGGATTTACAAAATCAGCATAAAACACTCATTAAAATTAAATAAACCATTTAGAAATACATTTATTAATTCATGAATAAATAATAGAATTTGAGAAACTATTTGAAAAGGCATTGTAAAAATGGGAATACATACCTGGATTCCATTTCATTTTTTCCAGCTGCTTTTCCATTTCCTCTTACCTAATCGATTAGCTTAGTTATTTAGCTTCTCCTTTGATGATGCTATAAAAGGAGAAGCTAAATGACGAAGCTATCTTTTATTTATTAACTTCTGTGTTATAACTCTTATTTCTTGTTTTTTCTCCTTTGTTGTCGCTGTTGTTCTTTTGTCATATATTGTTTTTTTTTTTATTATCCTTAATAATTGTGTTTTCATGATTATGTTATAAGGCCAATAAAAAATCTCTATAGCAAAAAACAAACAAAAAAGCTTTTCCTTATAGCCCCTAGTGGGTCCTCCATATCTTACCAATCTAGAACAAACATTGCAAGTTCAGCATTTAACCCTCAATCCTGATGTTTTACTTCTTTTTTTCTACTGAAGTTAGCATGTTAATCAGCTAGCCTCTCTCGTCACTTTTCCGATACCGAGTCACTGTAGCGTTCAGTCTGCCCTGAAGAGGACGCATTATAACCTCTTGTCTTTTAAATACAATGATAGGTGAAGCTGTTGCCAAGACGAGTAAATAAACAGCTGCTATTGCTAATGTTAGCTATGTAGCAATAGCAAAATGTCCACATAGCTCCTTAAATCAGTGTTTTTGTCAGTGTACCGTGCTCACAATGCATCTGCTGTCACAGCTCACAGTGTTATGTAATGCTCATGGTCTAATGTAAGCTTGATAACTCTGTTGAATCTGTGCCTGTCGGTTTGACTGTGATCAGTGTTCAAGAGTTTCTACCACCCAAACCAGCCCCTCAACCAACATGCATGAATCCTGTGTGTGGGTGTTTTATATTTAAACTGATCCTCGAGTTGCTAAACGTCTTAATTCTCTTATGGTGAAGTGAACTAATCGTGCCGTCAACACGTAAAGAGAAGGAGCCTCTGCACAGTAACAAAGAGTGTCTATCCTCCGACAAACTGCGCCTGTTGTTGTGGCTGTGACCTCAGCCGAGAGGGACAGAGCGCTTTGTGTTACGAGAAGATCGGCCATGACAGGAGGACCCGAGATGAGATCATTTTAGACTTGAACTGTGATGCATGGCGACAGTTAACAGGAGCAGGGCATGTTCAAAATGCAGAATATGATCAAATAAAAGTTAGAATTAATTCATATTTTTAACATGAAACTGTCACTTTTCTGCATTTATTTAATTAAAGTTCTCGTAAAGGTTTTAATACTCGCAGTCAGTGATACAAAACTTCAATATCTAATCCAGTGTTTTAACGATCTCTGTTTTCCCTCTTTGATCACAGTGTTAATCAGTAGAAGACTAACAGGATCAGCTCCTCTCTACCTGCATGCAAACTGAGTGTGAACTTTCGTTTCTCTGTTTACTCCAACTGAACCAGTGTTTTTCTGCTTTCTGCTTTGTTCTCTTCGCAGATTCAAATTGTGCACAAAAAGATCGACCTGAGCACCGTCACATCGAAGTGTGGATCGAAAGACAACATTCGTCACAAACCAGGTGAAATGTCATTTTGTCAGATGTTGTGGTTTTAAATTCAAAAAGACCAAAAAAAACTATGAATCTTTAAATGAAAAAGGAAGAAATGAAAAGCAAACATGTTCGTCGAAGACAGTGATTTAATGTAATTTCATTGTGAAACGTAATTTTCCGCAAGTTCCCTCTTGACCTTTGGGAACAGTATAAGCATCAAAATACTCAAAGGTTTCTATGAACTATGAATGTAACTTTCAGTTACATCTCTCAGTCTTCATCAGTGAATGAAGCTGGCTCAGGTGTTTTACAGTGGTGGAAATGAAGTACATACATTTACTCAAGTTGCGTATTTAATTTTGTAGCACTTGAGTACATGTAGACAATATTTATTTCAGTTTTACTCTATAGAGCAATACCTTTACTACGAATACTTTACAGATACTCTATAGTTACCAGTTCGTTTTCAGAGTCAGATTTTATTTAAAAAATAACACGATAAACGTATAAAATACAGAACATTGTTAAAGATAAAGTGTGTTTGGTTTGTGTGTCTAGATGTTTCAGGTGTTTTTGAGTTTAGTTCCACTTCTTTTCTTCTCTTGGTTTCTTCTAAATAACTGAGTCTCAAAGGCGGAAAATGGTCCAATCTTTCACAAAAAAAGCAAAGATTTGGAGAAAAGTTAAAAAAGAATGAACACAGTTTTGTTCATCAGATCTTTGCTTTTTCTTTTTTCTTGGGCCCTCAGACTGGGACCCACTAGACTGAACTAACTGTAGTAACAGTATAAGTAGTTATAACCAGCTCCACCTCGAGCAACTACAACAGTAAATTGCTGCTGAGCAATTGAATTAATTTTAGCTGATATTACTTAAAGGAGAGGATCTGAGTTATTCTTCCACCACTGGTCTTGTCCTTATTCCAGCCTCTTTATGTTTGTTCACCTTTCATAAATAAAAAAAAATAATAATAGGAAGTTACCAAAAAAAGGGTTATGGCTAGAGTTAAACAGCTAAACAATGTCGTATTTCTATGTATCATTGCAAATGTATTTGAACTTCTTGAGAATGTTTTCTGTTTTGGTTAGGTGGTGGAAATGTGGAGATCAAAAATGAGAAGCTGGAGTTCAAAGTCCAGTCTAAGGTCGGTTCTCTGGACAACATCGGCCACGTTCCCGGAGGAGGACTGAGGAAGGTAAAAACACCTCAACCAGACTCTAGGTTAAAAACACAAGATTTACTTCCTGTATATATCAGTCGCCAACATGGTGCCCCTGTTTTGACTATCATGTTCTGCCTGTTGCATGGCCAAAGCTTCATCTGCTGGAGACTCATCTACGTTCTTACAGCAGCATCGATGTTAGATTTATCAACACTGATTTTACAAGGTTTCCACACAAACACATCCATGATTAGAGCTTATAAAAATAAAACATCACTGAGCTCTGCTCACCCTCACACACCCTCCACTCATTCATCTCATCCTTCCCTCCTGAGTTTCTCATCATCACCTTTCTTCGTTTTTTTACTTTGAGCTTCAGACGCCTCCATCTTCTCCATCCAGTTCAGTATAAATCCTCAGTTTTATCATGATCTTTTGATTTTTTTCATGTTTAGTTGCTTTGATTTCTGTTGAAACCATCGTGTGTTTTTGTTGCATGCCTTGTTCATTCCCTTTTTTGCTGGGGCTCCTCTGTAGAGGGAGAAGGGGAAGGACGCAGAGGGGAGCACCTCAGGCAGCCCCTCCATCCCCTCCCCCGCTGTCACCCCCCCTCTGTCACCTCAGACTGTCCCTTCAGCACCCAACACACCCATCCTGACGAACCCCCTCATAAAGATTGAGGACTCCTGTAAGTATTCACCAGCGGCAACAGCAGAAAGGTTTCTGAAATCTGGTCGTTCTTTCATCACAGGTTTTAGTTTGTTTTGTTTTCTTCTGTGGATGTTTGTTGTAACCAGGTTTTATTACCACCAAAAAACATTTGGACATTTTAACAATGTGGGCACCCAAACGTTACACCTTTCTGTAGATGTGGATGTAGTTGAAGGCAGGATGTTGGATGATGAGGTCTGGCTCTCAGTCCAGTTCATCCAGAAGGTGCTAGATTAGGTTTGAGGGCAGGGCCAGTCAAGTTCTTCACACCAAACTGGGAAAACCAGTTCTTTATGGAGCTGGTGCTGTCATGTTGAAACAGGAAAGGGACAAACAGCAAACTATGTACACAAAGTTGGAAGAAAACTATTGTCTAAAATATACTGTAGCATTAAAATTTTCTTACTTAGAACAACAATTTGGAAGATAAACACTTGATTTGACTGAGATCACCTTAAAGAGACGTTTTCACAGCCAGTGTGAAAAGCAAGACTGATTACAGTGACCAAAAAACTGTTTTCACTCTAGATACACAAATAGCAGGCCTCCAATTGTCGGTTGGGCAGATACCATGTCAACAAATCACAGATGTAATTGGGGCAGAGCCATTTTAAACCTTAAACATCAGTAATTTCAAGAATTTTTAAATCAATCTGAAATCAAACAAGGAGCCAATGAAAGGAGGCACTGGAGTCATGTGATTGCACTTGTTAGTTCCAGTAATAAGACGAGCAGCAGCATTTTGTACAAGCTGAAGTAGTGTGTTTATACAGGCTTGGTAAAATGTCAACTTAACTATCCGACAGACTCCCAGCAGCCCCTGGGGCAGTTTTTATAGAGGCTCATCCATGACACTGGTGTACAAACTGTTGTCCACCAGGGTCTGCTCTCGTACCGTAGCTGTGCCTCCACTACGGTGGCCGACAAGGGCAAACGCGCTGCAACAGCCCAAAACACTTCCGACAGGAGAAACAAGCTGCAATCCATAAACGATGCAGACTCCAAAACACCTACGAAAATACAAAACGAATACAGCAAAAAAACGTGCTGCAGGAAGCCAAAACAAAGACATTAACAGCAAACACGCTGCAAATACAGAAGGTCAAGGTGTTCCACTTAGCGCTCCCCCTAGAGGCCTGCAGCACTTCCGTTGTCTAGTCTGAATATGCAGCGCTTTTTTCTGTTGCATTTGTTTTGGGGGTTTGTGTGTGTTTTTGAATCTGCATCGTTTATGAATTTGCAGCGTGTTTCTCATTTTGGAAGTGTTTTGGGCCGTTGCAGCCCGTTCGCCCTTGTCAGCCACCGTACACATCCGTGTTTCGATCACTGAAGAGAATAAAAGGGTAGCAGCCTCCAGCATGTCTGACTCTCACCTGTGATCTCGCCGCAGATTGAGAGCCACAAACTGACCTTCCGTGAGACAGCCAAGGCCCGTACTGACCACGGTGCCGAGATCGTCTCTTTGGAAGACTCCCCCCACCAGCTCAGCACCGTGTCCTCCTCCGGCAGCATCAACATGGCCGACTCTCCGCAGCTCTCCACGCTGGCCGACCAGGTGTCCGCCTCTCTGGCCAAGCAAGGCTTGTGAATGCACCCACCTCCTCCTCCCTCCTCCTCCTCCTCCTCCTTCACCTCAAAAACACGACCACATAGAGGAGTTGTGATGCCTTCCTCATTATTTTCACAGGACTTTTTTAGCTACCCATCATCACTGTTTACCCTTCACTAACCTTTCAAACTGTTTTTCAGCCATTACTAGTAGAGTAATGTGAAAAAAATACAGATTAACAAGTAGGCCAAAATGAATTTAATTTCTCTCTGTGGTCTTTGATCTCTTTATTCGCTATGATTTCTACCTTTTGTAAGTGTCCCTTTAAGAGTTAAAGCGCCCCAGCAGAGCAAAATCCTCCTTTATTTTATATCTACACATGTCCTGGTGAATCTGATTTAAGACCTGTCACGTGGACTGTAAACCTTTTAGTTTTGTCCCCTTTGATGGGTGTCCCCTCATGTTTTTTTTTTTTTTTAAATATAGAGATACAGAACCTGGAAAAAGGAGGGAAACGCAGACTGTTGGGGTCCAGTTACAGGGTACAGTGGCGAGGGGGCGTCTGAGGGAAAAAAAACGTTAAAAGAAAAGTAGCAAATTTCTCGTTAAAAGGCAGAAAAGATGCTTTAAGACCTCACTGCTGTCTTTGCTTTGTTTAGTCCCGACATGTGCTGCACCTCGAGCTACCGTAGGTGACGGCAGGGGGGTGCTACCTGGATTTAAAAAAGAAAAAAACAGAACAGCTAGAGTAGAAACTTGTGTTGGGCACAGTTTTATAATCGTACTCTGTGGATATGACATGTATTTGATATGAAGAAACATTTGTATTGTGCCTGCTACTGTCAGTGTTCATTTTTTTTTTGTTTTGTTACTGCTCTATTGTAAATGCGCTAAAGCTTGACGTACAAGGAGGAAAATTAACCTTAATGCGTTTTAAAGTGTAACTTTCATGGCCAAAATTGTCGAGAGACAGAACGAGTTCATCAGTATTTAAACTGCTGTATGCACTTAAAGGTAGGTAGAATAAATAATGTTTAATCGCAGTTAATCAGTCTTAAAGCGAGGCTACGTAACTTCTGCTAAAGTGAGGCCACTTTTTGTGATTATGCTGAATGCTACGACCGCTAATTAGCATTTAGCTGAAATGCTAAGCTATTGTAACAGTAGCACGAGTTTAGAAGAATCGTAACATAATTTCAGTGGCTTTAAGCTACTGGTCATACCAGACCGAGTGCGGCTGTAGCAACAAAACCGCTGAGCATGATGATTCGAGCGAAGGTCCGTTTCGTTGCTTGTTAATTCAACTTTTCAGAACTGTCAGAAGAAGATTGTGTTTTTTCTTCAGTCAAGAGTTACATAGTCGCGCTTTAAAGGTTTGGAAAAGCTAGTGTTTTAAAATGTACTCTACAGGAGTGAATATGGGTGTGTTGCAGAGCAGATGGATGGATGGTGGGTTGACTGGGCCAAGTTGAGATGAGGGATTTTCTGCTTAAGTGAGCAACGAGAGAAACTGTACAGCATTGAGTTACATCTACAGCACTGAACATAAAGAGACACAGGATTCACCAGGATGTGGCTCTCAGCTGGTTGTTCTTATCTTCACACATTTAACGCTTGAGTTCCTGGCAAAGAAAAAGCTGCACTACTACACATTGGCCAACATTATGTGGACACCTCAATTTTACACCCAAAACCATGGGCTTTAATATGGTGCTATAAGAAAACATCCACTCGTCTGGTTTCAGGCTTTCCACCAGATTTGGTGCTCGTCACAAAGTTGGAAACACTATCGTCTAAAACAGGTGTCGACCTTTTGTGTTTGCAGTGTGTGAAGAATTATTTTATCTTCATACATATCCTGGTTAATGTGACGTCATTTAAGATATACTTAAGATATTCTGTTGCAATGACTGTAAAGTTTTAGGAAGTTAATGCCCCATTTTCCCCCCTTATGTTTTGTTTTTTTATGTTTTGTTAAAATATCACTATCAACTTGGAAAACAGGAACATGCAAATTATCAGTTTGTATTCAATCATTCAGTCATTCATTCATTTAATCTTTATTAAGGACACAGCTTTTTTTTTTCATTATTTCATTCATATTAAAGCAGTAGATAATTTATCTTCTAAATGAAGCAATGTCCACAGGTATGACCATTTTTTTCATGAATATTTTCAATCCAAAAACAAAGATTATAGGAAACTCAAGATGATTCATTGCAACTGAAACATGTTTTTGTTCTACTTTCCTTTCCTGTTAATCATCTCACGCCCCCTAGTGGAGTCTCAACCCTGATGCTGGGAACCATTGGTCTAAAATATTGTATATATTATTGTCTTAATTTGAATTAAATAGTCCAAATTATTACCAAAAGCACTCAAAATTAAATTAAATTGAGAGGCATGTCCACATACTTTTGGCTACATGGTGTATCTCATAAAGGGAGATTAGAAGAGATTTCAACTTTTCAGGTGAACAAACATTTCTTTTTCCTGTGAGGCGTTATTGTAAAGAGCCTTGTATTTTGTATTTGAATGAAACAACCAGCTGGGGATTTGTTACCAGTTTCCTGTTTTTTTCTCAATTTGTAAGACACTCAGTTCATGTGCTCAAAGATGTTGATCAATATTCCTCAATATGATTCATCACTATGAGTAAAACAACTTCTTGCATGCACCTCATGTGAGAAACAGCCGTCTGCTTGTTGCCTCCCCTTCACAAAGTGGTCTCTTTGTATATCCTGTTTATATATGATATGCTCTCTGGATTCTGAAGGATATACTGACTAAAAAAAAATGTGTGTGTGTGTGTGTGTGTGTGGGTGGTGCTATCCTTCACTCACAGATTGTGATAAAGAGTCAAGAAGTCCCACACTTTGCTCCCAAACTGTGTGTGTTTACCATGTATTGCCAACATAGATATAAAAACAGTATTTTATCTCTATGATTGCAAAGATGCTACTTTTCATTTAAAAGAACAGACATGTAGGACTTAAGCGTGTGCTAGCAACATTATCTGCATGCTACAGTAAATTCTCGGATCTTTTTTTCTCCAGTAGACCACATTTCCTCTCGATGTGCAGGACAGACATGATTGGCTGAGGGGTGGGAGTAGTTCCCAGTTTAAGGTGCTGGAGCTGTTTGGAGAGGTTTCTGCAGTAAGGAAAAACTCATCACTCTTTTTTTTTTGTTTTTTTTTTTGGTTCATTCTGACGCTGTACAGTTGTGGAAATGTGATTGTTCTCGTTATTGTGCATTTTATCAATAACTGGTTTATGATGATTCTTGTTGCTGTATATGTGTATTTGAAAATAAATGCTATGAAGTCACAGTTGTCGTTGAAGGAGGGCAACACAAATCGCACACACAGTAACACCATTTCTTGCCCAAGGACACTTCGACATTCCGATTAATAGACGACCCACTCTATCTCCTGTGCCTCCTGTGCCTTACTATACTATGACTTTTTTCTGATTTCCTACACTATGACATTTTTATGTCTTACTATGACTTTGTATGCCTCACGTATTACGTTATGTCTTACTATGACTTTTTATGATTTACTATACTATGACGTTTTTATGACTTGCTATACTATGTCGTTGCTATGACGTTTTTTATGCCTTAGTATACTATGCCATTTTTATGACTTACTCTACCATGACGTCGTTCATAAGTTTGTGAAAGTTATCGTGCAGTTTATGACTAAAGCACGAAACTTTCTCCAGTGTTTCTATAAACCATGAAGTTTATTTTCAGACGTGGAGGCATTCGAGATGTGACCTCTGGTACAGGGCGGAGCCAGCTGGAGTAATGAGTGCGGTCCAGACCAAACTAGCATGCTAGCTTCTGATTACAATGTTAATGTGCTAGCTAGTCATGTGATTCCAAGTAACACACAGCAGAAATTGGTCCATATTTTTAACAAGCTACAGCTACCTTAGCACCTGGAAATGGAGTCTGCAGTCCCCCTGCAAAAATGGTGCTCTAAGCAAAATTATTATACACAGCCACAGAAACAAATACGCATCTTTATGCAATTTTGGCAAAAATATACATGATAATGGAGAAATTGGGCAAAACCTGGAAAAATTCAAAGCTGAGGTCAATGACCTCCCAAGGTCACCAGAGATCAGATATAAACTGCCTCCACATCTGAAATAAAACCTTGGGGTATGTAGATTATATGCAGAAATTGTCATGCTTTAGTCATAAAATGCACAACTGTTTTGCCTACCTGCCCCACTACTACGATGTGCATTGTAGACCTCCGCAGATCAACAATTTGAGTCGGACAGAGCTAAACACATAGGTGCGCTTGAGCATAGGAATACGGTAGTTCAACGGTCGAAAAATGTAGTTCAAAAGGAAATGGCTGTTTTTACGACAAGATAAAGCGGTGAAAATATTTAAATTTATTTATTTATTCATTTGGAAATTTTTAAGTGACTAAAATACTTTTTTTTTTTTTTTACCGACCCCAGCAACACATCGCTCAAATTATGTGCAGGTCCAACCGTTTAACTAGTGTATTACTGCGCACAAGCGCACCTATGGCTGTCATTGTAGTACTCCGCAGATCCACCGTTAAGCGTATTGGTGCGCTTTTGAGTTGGAATACGGAGGTTCACCGGTTGGAAAAATGTAGTTCAAAAGAAAAGGCTGTTTGACAGCAAGATAAAGCGGTGAAAGTATTCCAAATATTGCAAATATAGAGTACCACTAAAAAATGCCCACAGAAAAAAACTAATCAGTTAAATAAAAAATAACTACCTCACGCAGCCCCACTTCAAGTAACCAAAACTATCACTTTAGAAGCCCTTCTCACATGTTCACTTTTTTATGCTACAAACCCTCAATGCAATGATTTTATAGATGCACAGAACAGATATGATAAAGTGTAAACTACTGACTCCAGTGATTTAAGACACGTTTGACACTGAAGGACTTGAGGCCAGAACAACTGCACCAAGTTAAACATAAATGTTTTAATGGTACTATTTACAAAAAAGAAAAAACAATTCTGCTTTTTGATTAGGTTAACTGCTGCAACAATCGAACAGGTACATCGACATCTTGCTCAACTACAAAAGAAAAAACAGTGATTGAATGGCTGTGGCATAAAAAGAGGTGTAAAATGAAAAACAACCATAGATTTTTTTTGCATAGCAATTAGGGTGACAGGAGAGGAGGGGGTGGGGGAGCAAGAGTGTGGTTATATGGACATTACGGGGTGGTGAAAACAAAATATCCCATCTTGCAACACAGTAGTCTGGATCTGATTAATCTGAAAGTGAAACTATTAAACAGCAGAAAATATTCCCTTAAATTGAAGAACCTGAGCTCAGGGTGGCTTCTAGCTGAGAGCTGCTACATTTGAAATGTTTGCAGGAGAAAAGCTGAACCAGAAAAAAGAGGAAGGGGGAAGGGAGAGGGGGGTAAGTGTGTTAAGTTTTTATTTTGCCACATTTTGACTTCTGTAATACAACAATGACTGAGGAGAAGGGAGTGAAATTAGCAGATGGTACAAATTATCCCCTGTGATTTATTCCTTTTTTCTCTTTTTAATAAGTGGAAATCTCACTGTGTGCTGTTGTGATAAGACTAACATCAGCATGTTTTTCAGCATGCAGCAGCGCTTTCTGTAGGGCAAGTGCTCAAAAGACAACCCCAGTCCTGTATGTACGTTATCATCACCCTTTTTAAACAAAACAAAACAAAACAAAAAAAAAAAAAAAAAAACAGAACAGGAGAGTTTTAAAGGCTGCGGGGCGAGATGGGAGCTGGACACTCTCCACAGAGACTGTAAAGGAATGATTTTTACTATTCAAAAAACACAAAGAATGTGTTACGCTGGAACAGACAGAACAAATACAAATAAAACATGTCAGGAATGAAAAACAGAGAAAAGCAAACCAACAAAACTAGACTTGGCAGTTGGAGAAGTGCTCTGGTGATTTCAGGCGACCTCTGGGGGGGAGAAGGAGGGGCCACATCTCAAATGTACCTGTTTATTTGGATGAGGAGGGGAGAGGGTGGTATTTTTTCTTGTTTTGTTATTTGTCACTCCACTAAAAATGTACATGGGAATTACAAGCAAACTAGTCAATAGAAAACACCCTTTGGCCATATTTTGAGGAGTCCGCTACATAGTGCGCTACAAGTGTACACGCGACATATGAAACACCACTAAGCCCCCATGTACATTGTTTAGCCTACTACAGAAATCATTTTTTGAAACATGTTGTTTTATACTTTTTTTTTTTTTTTTTTTTTTTTTTTTTTTTACATTTATCCTTTTTTTCCTGTGACAAAAACAAGTGTAGGGAAAGGCTTCTATCTCCATAATGTTCACTAAAAACTGTGAAAAGTATTAGACTGATGTTTGAATATCAAACAACAGGAACCCATTTAATATCTTATTCTGCTTTGAGGTTCTGCTTGTTAATGCCAGAGAGGAGTGGTGGTGGGGTGGGGGGTAAATGGGTGCTGGAGGGGTGGGATGGGGGGCCGGGCGACCTCAGCCTTGTCAGTCATTCATCGGTGGGTGGAGGCCTTGTGTTTGGGGCCATTATCGTCATCACAAGGCAGATCCATGTCGTCCGAATCCAGACGTCCGTAGGCTGTTGCTCGGCAACCTGAGATGCTGCGCATTCTGGGCCTGATGTGGTGGTCGCTCTCTGCCTCGGGCTCTGGGGCCGGGTCTTCTGGCAAGGGGAAGCTGCGACGCTCCCACGGCGCTACCGTCTGAAAACATCAGAGAACAGAGTTTGCTTAAAACCTTGAAAACATGGCTTTTATAATTGTTTCCACACAGCTGCAATAATGAGAGCGGCAACAGAAACTTGACCATTGTTTCCTCGTTCAAGGAAAAATGCCAAACATTTCCTGGTTCCAGCTTCACAGATGTGAGGATTCACAGCTTTTCTTAGTGATACATGAGCGTAAACTCATTATTGTTGGGGTTCGGACCACTGACAGGAGAAAAACAAGGTATTTGAAGACAATGACTAACCAGGAAACAATGAAGTGGCCGGTATTCTCTCTCTCACATGAATTGAGAGCAACACTATTCAAGTCTCCCAAAAGAGTCAAAGTGTGCACCAGTGAATTAATGAAGGTCAACTCTTTACTCAAGTACGACCATTCAGAAACACAAACACACACACTTGTACTAATAAATTGTCTTTGACCTTCATTCATCCTCACAGTTAAAGTTTGTAGGGAAATTAAACACTCCAAGGTATTACAAAGAGTTTAAAAGTCAAAACCTGCTTCATCAGGTCTGTGGGTGTGTTTGTTTATGCTGCAGCACCGTCTGTCAAACACCTCCTCAGCAGTCTAGTGATTCTGATTCAGATGTTGCTAAATAACTGATGCGCAGAAACACATGACGACATTTTTCTTGTTACTTACCCCTGGCTTCTTTAAACCAATGGGACAATAAAGGGTAAAAATACATCACAAATAAAGACGACTGTCGTATGAAAATTGTTCAAACTTTGGAATAAAACTGTTCATGTAGGATTCACAGTTCAGAGGAAGAAGCTGATTAAGAAAATGTTTCTGGGCCTTTAAAAAAAAACCTATTCATTAATACAATTCTGGAAGTGCTGAAATCAGACAATTAAAAAGGGGCAGTCCACTTATTTCACACATAAAAAGGTCAGTTAAGTAGTCGTGGGAACTGCTGCTCGGCCTCTGAAAACTGTTGTATGTCATCTTTTGCCAAGTCTGAGAAAACAGCCCCTGACAATGTGAAGCTGAGTGGTCTAATGAAAATCTGCTATTTATTGCTTTATGTGTTTTGGACTTCCACTCATACTACAGATTTAAACTCAGCCTCTCCTGCTTTAATTCAAGTCCGTTTTATTTTTATTGCCCTTTAATGGAAGTGAAATATTAAATGTTGGTGTAATCCTTTCACTGCTGCCAGAACCAGCAAAACCTCCCCAAGAAACACCACACAAAGACAAATGTGTGCTGTAACATGTTTCTGAGGGACTAAATCTAAGTGTGCCAATACTTCATGTGGGTGGGAGGTAAGAGGACGGTCATCACACTAATATAATCACATATAATATCACGTTTCCATGGTGATTTCAAAGCTGTGTAGCTCATTCAAAGAAAAAACCTGAACTATTCTCTGGTCCAGTAACAGGTCACCAAGTGTACAAACACAAAAGAAAAGATTTTATTTATTTTTATTATTTGCATTGCATCTGAAACCTTGGTGTTGATGACGCAGAAATATTTACACTCTTCTTTGGTCATTTGAATCCATCATAAACTTCCATCAGCCACAGATTACTTACTGTTCAACACTAATTCAAACACATTTTGTTTTCCACATCTCCGAGTGAAATGATTCTTAATCTGGAAGTAGCGGAATTTTCACACCCCTCGGATGTTGAATAAAAGAAAGAGTGATGTCAAGCGATAATGGTACAAACCCGTTCTTCGAAGGTGAAGTCTGGCGTCGAGCACCGCGTGTCCTCGCTGGACAGCAGCCGATGAGAGTCCCTAGAGCAGGGTGTGTGGGGGTTGGAGGTGGTGTCGGGGCTGGCTGGACTCATGGGTGACGGCACGTGGCTGTAGTCGTGGAGCATGGGACAGTGGCCTGGGTCTGGGGACGCAGGCTGAGGGGTGGGAGGGTTGGTCCCGCATAGCAACGGTGTGGTCCGGCCGTCAACAGATTTGTACGACCTGAGGGACGAGGTAATCCACAATGAGACGTTTAGGCTTCACGTCTACAGTCGACCATGAAACACTAATAAGTTTACTGCATGTAATAGTTGTGGTAGTGACCTGCTGCCCCTCCTCTTAGCCGGAGCCAAGGCCATCCAAGTCCAGCGGGCGCGCTCCTGATCTTCATACGGCTGATGGAGCTGGATGAAGGCTGCGTCTGAAAGGTCCTCCACCTGCACACACTTAATATCATCAGGACCCTGACACTGGGCTCACCTCACTTCACAACTGAAATAATTTAGTCAATTAACAAAGCATTAATTGCCACAATGCAGATAACTGATTAATCATGTTGGTTATTTATTGACCAAAAAGGCTAAAAGTTCTCTGGTTTGTCCTGCAGGGATCAAAGGACACAAACTTGGTTTACTGTCATACCGGCCAAAGTATGTAAGACATACATAGTAAGATTTTATTGACATTACATCACACTTTTTATTCCCAGCTGTAAATAATAACTCCTATTAACTAATATAATTAAGGAATCATAAAACATCTCCTGGACCTGGATAAGCAGCAGACAAGAAATAGATGGATGGACCGACCAATTTAAAAAATAACTAATTAATTTTAGGTTTTGCTAAAATCACATACAGAAACATTTTATGACAGCAAACTAAAAAAAAATATTTCAGATATTCGTACATTAAATGTAAGATTCCATGCCTTGTTATGGCAGTAACTTAATCTTTTGGGGATGTTGGTCAGACAAGACAATTGATCTGAATGTGTCAATTGGATTTAAGGAAACAGTGATGGCAAAATTTTCTGACATTTTATAGATTAAATGAGAAAATGTTAATTTAATCCTTCATGAAAATCATTGTTAGTTGACAGGTTATTTAACTGCATCAAAGATAAAGAGAAGCAGTTACAAATTCGACCACCAGCTGTCACTGTTCACTCACTGCCATATATTCTGAATTTCTGGATATCAAATATTTAACACATCTTATACATTTGAAAACAGAATAAGAGAAGTGACAGGTCCAGTTCAGTTGATCCTAAACCATGACTAAACTCTTACCTCCCGTTCATTCTCCTCTTCAGTGATGGGCTGGGAGAAGATGTCCACAGATCGCCAACTATGCACAAAGATACACAGATGTGAGTACAGGAGCCCATAAGGTTCAACATGCTTCACAATAACATCACGATTGAAGAATATAAAGAGACAAGAAGAAGAAAGCAGCAGCTGCGTCAGAGCAAACAGGCCACAGGACAAACATCCTGCTGGTCGCACCTGATGCTCTGAACAGTGCAGGTGTTTACCTGGGTGTGAGAATCTCTTTGTACTGCAGCTTCTCCACTCTGGTGGTGGCCGCCACAGACATGGGGATTACGATGTTGTTGATGTCAAAAGAGCTTTCACCTCGCCTCCTCTTGATGGGCTGCTGCTGGGGGTCAAAGGAACACATCAACCTCAGGATTACATACATGAACAGATTACAGCAAACAGTGACACACCTGTAATATAATCCAAAACAATAATAAAAGTATGACCTCATAACTGACTGCAGGAGTAAATCAACACTTTCCTGATACAGTTAAAACGATGACATCTTCACAGACTTAGTCACTCATTAATATTATTTGTCAATTCCTGTCCAAATATCAACACACCTACTTGTAAATGTTGAGTTTAAGTCACATCATGAGCTCACTTCCAAACACACTTTATATTCTTCGAAGATTATAGGATTTGGATGAGTTTGACTCGATGGGATGGACATGAATTTAACTTATTTACCCTGTCATTTTGAATATTATATAATAATATATACAGCCATCATTTAAATATTGATGCCTTGGTTAAACTTCTCAAACGAGTGTGTGTGTGCAAATTAGCAAAAGTCCACGCATGTGTTGGACGTGAACTCTGTGTTACTCGACACCACAGTTGTGTTTGTCTGTTTTTGTTTCCTTCCTTTTTCTGCTTCACTAACCACTAGACAAAAAAGCAAATTCAGCTTCAGCTTGAGTTCATTTTCTCTTTCGTGACTGCCCATGTACTTCCTTTATCATCATCTTACAGTATATGTCAGTAGTGTCTGATATCTGACTGTACTCTGTTTTCAGACACAACAATATTTCTTATTAAGTCCGAGTCTCCTACGACAGACATGTAAATCCTTACATTTTACCTGTAACACTCAGATGATGATGGTGTTAAAGGCTCTAAAATCTGTCATGTAAAAACACCAGATTTACACACAGTCAAAGAAACAGGAACTGTGCATCTTAATTTAAGTTTTATAATGAAATCTTAACACACTGCATCTGCTGCCTGTCCACCAGATGTCGGGAGCTAAAATCTGGTCTGGTTTGTCAGATCTCGTTAGCTTTCAGGACCGGAACTAAAGCATCAAAGCTTTTAAAAACAAGGGTTAAGAAACATGGCGAGCATCATGGTGCTGGGTTGGTTAAACTTTGTAAAAATGTGCTATGCTATCATCCTGTGTTGCTGTATGTACAATCAAAGGAAAAAAAAAGCTTTGACCATGAGGCTCAAACTGGGAGCCCCTTGACGTCGACGGGGCGGCCCTACTTTAGTCCTACTCCTCTATCAGCTAATGAGGCCAATAAAAAGTGAGCTGTGTTGCAGCGTTTCCTTACAGGTGTGCTCGGGACGCTCTGGCTGCTGGGGCCCAGCGGTGTGGAGTTCTCTGAAGACGTGGACAGCTGGCGTGTCAGGGGGCTGTGGAGGGATGAGTGCATGTTGGCCAGAGTCGGGCAGGGGCTGCTTGAGTCCAAGAAGAGTTTAGGGGAGGCTGGAAAAGAGCAGAGGAGATAGATTTTTGTAACAGCACATCTACACTGAGGGAAAAGTGTCTGGAACCAAAGAACAAGTACTACTGAGTCCCTCTCTTCATACCAGGAGGAAACCTTCAATATCCTATTAAACAGCCCTTCTGATAGACGACTTTCTCCTGCAGATATATAACTCAATCTACAAAGACTCACTGTCAGTTCTATCCAGCGAGGGCTCTCTTAATCTCTTGCGGCTGTAGTTCTTGTCGTAGGGCCCTAACGGAGTAGAGAGGGCCTGCAGCCGCTCGGTCTTGCACACGGCCTGGCCCTCGAGCCTGGCCGTGTTCAGCACTGCACTGCTGGTGCCCACGCTGCTGTCCACTGTCCTCGGCTTCTCTGCACGGTTCTTATAGTGGCCCAGTCCTGCAACACCAGGAGCCAGTCACGTTTTAACAAGGAGTTGTCATAGTAGAGGTTTTAAATTTCAATATTTTAAAAGGATCAATTCACTGGTTATGAATGTTTCACCACTATAATAAAAAGTAACAATGAAATCTACTGTAGACCTGTAAGAGTATGGGTTTCACTACTGGAGCTTGAGCATGTGGTTGCAACAGCAGAGTAACTGTCTCTGCCCCGTGGCGTTATGAAATAAAACGGTTACTGAGAAAAAATGGTGTAATGAAATAAAACAGCTGGAATGAAATAAAAACGACCTGCAATAAAGTCTGTTACTGTGAGAAGAAGCAGGATGAAGAAACGTTTCATAATGATGAGCAGAGATTCAAGGATACATCAGCTCATTTCACATTTTCATGGAAATATATTTTGTCTCCATCTCTTATTTATACATTTAATATGAAACACTTTAGGTCTCCATAGTGGAAACTTCTATTTAGCTAATATAATTTAAGGGATATCAGAGGACCTGCATCGAGATGCGAAATAATGACTGTGTGGGCGACTTTGATGAAGAGTCTGATGAAACTCTTCCTCTTGTACTTACTGACTGCCATAAGTGAATTGGTGAACTTGTGCTTCTCTTTGGACGAGGAGAGCTTGTGTTTGAGGGAGAGCTTCTTCAGTGGTTTGCTCCTCTCCAGTGACTTGGTCTGCCATTGGCTCTTCATCACCTGCTGCAGACGGAGGCCTATACAAACGTCTGAGGGAGAAAAAAAACAGAGTGAAGAAGTCTTAAACACTAAGTTAGTGTGCAGGGTGCAGCTGGATACTTCAGATTTGCAGATGCATAATTTATAATGAGCCAAAGACAATGTACTATATGAGCTCAAGCCAAATCCAAACAATTTATGTATCAGTCTTTAGGGATTCATCTATGACAAACTCCTTAATAATCAAAGATCTGAGTGAACCCTGTGATACAAAGTAAAGACAATATTCTGAAACTCCAGGACAAAAAGGACCATCGTCACTGTCGTTAACACGATACCCGTGGCAGACAGAAAAGATTAAATGACTGAAAATGTTCTCTAAGAACTTCCTGGTGAAGAATTCTCTCTGCGGCCACTCCTTGTTTGTCTTCCCCTCTGAACGTGAAGAAGGAAATGGCTGCGTAAACTGAGATTGCCTTTTAGCGAGGAGCCCAGCACTGACCGTCAGGGAAGGAGAGGATGGGGTGGACGCCAAGATCCAGTCTTGACAGGCGCTCCAGGGTGGGCAGCTCGTACTGAGGGTCTTCTCTGGGGGTGGACCAGCCACCACACATCACACAGCTGGGGTTAACCCTGCAGTTACACTGGATACAGCTGCTTCTCTGGGCCTGGGGGTGGGGGTGGACAACGAAGGGTTTTAAAAACCATGTAAAACTGAGCTGCTCCACTCTGACATTAAAGCACATATTACTCAGTGACGAAAGAATGGCTTCTAATATTTCTACAGTTTAATGCACCACAGGAGTAAAGTGAGTCACCCCAGAAAACATTTTCCTCTTGAAGCAACCGGCGTCATGGTGACAGAGTACCAGTATTTTTCACAGATGGATCTAACTGAACTGCAGACAAATTTAAAATCCAGAAACAACTTCACAGGCAGAAATATAGTAAATCCATCTTAAATTTTATCATGAAACTATAAAACAGTAGAAAAGACGGAGGAAAACTGGGATTGCTTATTGTACAACTAACCTCTCTCTGTTAATTTAGGAACAGCACAAAGAAATGTAATTTTTAACCTCCTCAATAATTTCACACACCGTCAGGCACTTCTATGTCACGGCCTTACAGTAACACATTTATACTGAACTCTAAGCCGTAGTGTTGCAGGGTGAAAAGCATAAACAATCAGCACGTTTCTATTTTCCTCGAATAAAAACTTGTCACGAGGGTGATTACGCTTCTTTGTTGTTTGACTCTGGAGGAAGATGCCCTACTTTTTCAGAAAGTCAGCCAGCTCTTGTTTATTCAGCTATCAGGTTACAAACCAAGGAACTAATCAGTGAGTGCAGCCCAGACGCACACACACAATAGAAGATATAAAGAAGAATAAAAGTCCACTTCATTGCTCTAAAATGCGCAACCGAGCATTCAACATATTCACACATCTTCAGTGATTTCAGTATCAAATTGATTAATAAGTGTTTCCTCTAAGTTCCTTTAAGGTGGAAGCGCTGCATGACTTAATGATGATGAACTTGCTGCATAACACAGAACTGAACCCAGTTCTACAGAATATTAAACCACAAGCCCATGAACACACACAATCAAACTCACTTTGCCGTTGAGGTTGGGCACAGTGTTGGGCTGAATGAGCCGCCGTCGCCGACAGCTGACTAGTGGTCGTGTCCGCGCTGCCACACATGTGCTGTCATAGGCCAACGGCTGCTGGTGCTTGGTGTCTGCACTTTCTGCCATCCTGTCACAAGAACAAGCAACACAGGAAGTGAGGTCACAGAGCTTCACATGACAAGATAGCGAAACAGACTGCGTCCTAAATCACTCACTACTCCCTATATAGTCCACTACATAGGTAGTTTGCCATTTTGTAGTGCCGTCCGAATGTATAGTGTAAATTATTATACCCTGTATAGTGGACTCATAGTATGCCACAATGCATCATGAAAAGTATTGTATAACCAATGGTCACTATCCAAGCAATATATACCATCATGCATTGCGCTCGCACTGAAAGACAGAAGAACGGTGCTGAGAAAATGACCTGAGTAGTGTCCAAAAGTGCTTTTTTCATTTTGCTGATGAGCCCGCTGTATAGGCCTCTACACTGAACTCCCTGGATAGTCAGGAGGGAATGAGTGAGTGATTTCGGACACAACCACAGTCTGCCTCAAATGCAAATCAAGTTAATTAAAGATATTAGTAACATGGAAAGGGTTAACCCAGGTTAAAAACTTAGGGTGAAATAAACACTGATGATTATTTTATCAGGCATCTTGTTAAGCAGTGATTTAATATTAGGATATTCAATGGTACAGAGGGCCACAACTGATCATTACTTTCATTATTGATTAAACTACAGATTATTTGTCTCTAAAATATCAGAAAATTAATGACAAATGTGGATATTTTCCAGGAGACCATGGCATCTTTAATATGTCTTATTTTATCCGACCAACAGTCCAAAACCCCAAAAAATATTTAATTTACAATGATATAAAAACAGAGAACAAGGAAAATTCTGAAAACTGAAACAAGCAAATATTTTGGCATTTTACTTTTAAAAAAAAAAAAAAAAAAAAAAAAAAAAAATATCACTTTCTTACAACTGACAAACAAATTCATGGAATCCTTTCAGCTCTAATGATAAAAGCCTAACTTAATCCCATTTTAAGACACAGTAACCACAGTAAAAACAGGCATACAACTAAGGATTATTTACATAATCAAGGAGTCTCCCATTTACTTACTTTGTCAGAAAATGCCTGTTATAATTTCCAGCTCTATAAAATTTTGCTTTATTCAACTTTAAACACACACACATATTTTGTTTACTCTCATATATGACAAAGTAGAGCATTAAATCTTTCCATCTGTGAAGGTGGAACTAATAAATGTCATATTTTTGTTTGAAAAATAACCAAAGCCAATTTCTTTTGTGTGCACCTAATCAATTAAGCAACTAATTCCTTCAGCTCTAAGTAACATCAGCATCTCATTATTACAAATCCCCAGAATTCATTATCATCAAGAACTCCCCTCTTGTGTTTCACAGAAAGCAGATTGCATACTGGGAACTTGATATGAGGTCATCATTATCAGCCTCACCTGCTGAGGACGCCGTTAACTGGCTGTCCATTTTGACTCTTCCAGGGGCCGGCCTCTGTGTTGCTGACGTGGGCGGTGCCTGTGTGCTCCAGCCGCTCTGAACCAACATCCTGCATCGACAGATAAGACAAAGCCAGTGAGGCTGCAGCTCGTGTTGAACTGCCACAGGAACACGGGGCTGACCAGCAGCACTTAGCAAACCCAGGATATTTAAGGAAACTACATAACAGACAAACTGAATCATCCCGGTGCTGTGGCCTTGAATTATTCAGTCCAGATTTGTGAAAGGAGCTGGGCAATCCCAAGGCTTAGAAACCTGTTCTGCACCGTCATCGCCATGCATAGCTGGGAGCTGCTACTTCACAAGCTTTTTTACACTAATGAGCACAATTTCATGGTAACAATCAAAGTTAAATTCATCCTAAAACTTAGCCTCACAATTTGAGGTCTAATTTCTCTTATTCCACAAGTTTCTCTATAATATTTATTCAGGGAGAGAGCAGATTATTTTTGTTTTAAAAAGAAATATTCCTCAGCAAAGACACAAAATCCTATAATTTAACAATATAAAAGTGAAAACTGACTATGTGACTAATCAACATGCAGTAATCCACCAAGATTAGAGGTCACACCTGGAGTTGTACTGGCTTCACAAACATTTGTATAAACAATTTAAACAAATCCAGAGAGACAGGCTCATCCTGTTATAAATTATGTGGAAATTATTTGGATATTATTGTTGAAGGAGCTTATTGCGCAAAAGCTCTTTTGTCTGATTCACTCAGACCTGAGGGACAGATAAAAAGAAATCATTTCCTGTGAACATTTAACATTTCACTTCCACCAGATGCTTTGATTTACAAGAACAAACAAGTTCAATGTTTTTCTAATGATTAGGTAACGATGAATAAAGTTGTAAGTGAACAGGACAGTCAGTAATATAACATCCAGTACTCAGACAATTAAAACGCAGAATTAAGGTTGGTTTAATCAAATATTTACATTGAACTTTGCATATTTACAAACTAAAAATTTGTTTTTTTTTGTAAGCATTAATATTTTTACACAGAAATGTTATTCAAATAGCATATAGCTGTTTTTTTATGAGAATATTTGAAGCTTATAGATTTAATGCGTGCTGTTTTTGTCTTCATTGCATGTAATATAACCTAAATTACAACTGCAGCAAGTTTTTAGGCTAATTTACTGCAAGATCTTTGAACAAGTGCTTCTTTCCCCCAGCGGCTGTATAATTTTTTAAACATAACCACAATGTACCACAAGCAAGCAAACTCGCTTTTTCCTTAATAAAAACAAAAAACTCCTGTATACTCATTAAGACACAACGTTTGAGACACTAGACAATAATTTGGTTTATATTGTAAGCTCCAACAGACAAAATATGGCGAGCTACACAGGAAAACACACCCCTCTGTTAGCCTCCACTCTGCTTACCTGAGTACTGACAGGCTCTGCTTTCACCTCTGTCCCACCTGCAGGCACCGCACTGGGGGCAACCCCTCCCAACTCTACTAAGCCCTGTGGAACCAAGACCTGAGTGTCATTCTTCACCCCCAAAAGCAGAGGGAGCACCAGTTACATTACATGAGTGCGGAGACAGTTTGTCACACAGACAGCCTGAAGTGAACCAGAACATCACAGCAGCTTCTTCATCATGCAGACTCCATGGAAACTTTTATAGCATAGTTCTCTGAAGTCCACACATTATATTCCAGTGTTCACACTAACAGATCCTCACACACACATATCTGACAAAACTCAAATATAACAACTGACCTTGCTGGCGCGGATCTGTCTGTAGATGTCGGTCTGCTGTCTGATGCGGTACTCCAAGTCCGAGATGTGTGCCTGGAGCCAGTTCCAGTGGCTGATGATTGCAGCTCTCTCCACTGTGTAGCGACTCTCCGCCCGCTTCCATCTGAGGGTCAGAGAGGGTGTGGGTATGAGACCATGGGTGAAAAGGTGCAACAAAATGCCTGATGATTTACATGTTATAATAGAGCTGCAACTATCAGTTGATTAAAAATATAATCAAATGATTAAATCAAGCTATTTTTGAAGAAAACTTGCAACAAAAAAAAAGAATATCTCTCTGAAATATGAAGATGTTCTGATTTTCTCTATTTTATTTCACAGTTAACCGAATATCGTTTGCTTTTTGGCTGTTGGTTGGATAAAACAAGACATTTAAAGATGTCACCGGACTCTTCACTCTTTTCTGACATTTTATAGATGGATTTATAGACGGGTTCAGGATAAATTGCATAACTAACCAGCAGATTGATCAATAATTAAAATAATCATAGAGGCTGCAGGGCTCACCCTATCAAATTATTTTCCCAAATACAATTATTATTAGTTACAAGCAGTGTAATATGGTGAATGTCTGGTCTTTCATGAATCATCCCATCAAATATAATACCTTGAAATCACACTGAAACACCCTGAAATAATAAATTGATAAACTGAAATTTATCATTTCGAGAATATAATCTAGTGAGCCTTTGAGCATTTCCTCTGCCAGACTGCAGAGGTCAGTGAATCAGCATTATACAAAGCTCCCAGCAATGGCAACTGCAGGCAGCACATAAAAGCTTTCTAATCAAAAAACAATATGATCAGACACGCATCATTAAGTGTGGTACAAATGTAAAAAAGGGGGTTTTCATTTCACAGCTTTATCCCATGTCAAAGAATGAATACCAACTGAGAGCAGAGTACTCCATTTTACCAGTATGACACACAGAATGGGCATTTCAAAGGCAGACATGAGAGGAAAATGTCTGCTCCTGCACTGTGTAGCAGCAACCACAGAGGGCGCCGTTTCATCAAAATACAGGCCGCAGTGACCGTGGCTGAACAATGAAAATAATGACTCAGATGGCAGACAAAGATAGACCTTACACTCCTCTGAGCTTTCTCCTCCCCACACCCGCCCCTGTTTTCAGTTTTCAGAGCTCCACCAGGATGGAGGAAGTGGAGAAAGACTGGCGGTGAGAGGGGGGAGAAGAGATGGGAAGGGAAGGAAGACGGGAGGAGGGACAACAAGGACTGGGAAGCTCTGGCAGCCTGGAGAGGAACAGACGGCCTTTAAAAGCAATCTACAGGCCACAGGGTGGTGGAGGGGGTGGGGCTGGGTCAGGGAACAGTGCAGCAGACACTCAGATAACCAATAATCCAACCAGGAATCCTGTCTTATTGTGGAGCTGAATGGACGGAGTTATTGTTGCTTTGACGCAGACATCAGCCACCAATCAGTGCAATGAAAGATGGCATGATTCCTTCCAACATTTATCCATCTATGGCTCGTTCACTGCAAAACAGGATCAAGGACATTGCTGCAAATACAGCTGCAGTGTTTTCGGCTAATAACATTTCCTATTGCTGATCTACAAACTCAGGCCTGTTGTGCTCACATAAACAAACATACTGTTCTTAACACACTAGTTGGTGAATGTTCACAAACACTGCAACACTCCTGAACACGCCCATGGCTGGTGCATCAGATCAATGCACTGGCAATTCATTTGCATCCCTGAGTCCCTGTTGAGATTCATCTCAAAGCAACACTGGTGGCTCAAAGTGTGTCCCACCATCCGCTGCACAAATTACGCCGTCCGTGCGCCATGATTCACCAAGTGGTGGGTGGACAACTGATCGACCAAAAGGGTGGATAGGCCAGGTGGAATGTCCCTGAGGGTGAAGTGGAAAATTATTTCAAGGAGATTCATACACTGTACGACAGGGAAGACCGGGTGCAGGCTGCAGAGATTGTCAAAACACTGAAGCAGGAGCAAACATCTCAGCGTTGGCCTTCTTACAAAGACAAGAAAGGCTGTTCATAAAGGTCACACGACGGGGATGCTGAGCTCTGATCAAGACAGGGTGGGAAGAAAATAGCACAGTGGATCCCAACTCCTTGTGTTGTGTCCTTGTGTTATATTATTAAGGACTGATTCAGACTTGACATGTCAGGTGAATTAAATGAATAAACTCAACAGTTCTGTGGTTCCACTAGTGAAGATTACACTAACAGGGATGCTAAAACTGCCATTTAGTAAAATACAAATACACATAGGCCTTTATGAGTCCAATGATCTTAATCGTCAGAGTAACAGAGGAGTATGAGGAGGAGGGGTCAGTTAGCTGTATTGAGGACCCCCCCACCCCCCCCACCCACCCACACTAGGATCTCCATTCCCCCCCGTAACCAGGACATATTTTCCTCCCCCTCTACTCCCACACACAAAGCACCAGCGGCAATCACTACAGCCGCCGTTTTCTGGCTGTCAGCACATTCTCCATTGTGGTGCTTCTCTGGATGCAGCGCATATGTTGTACGCTACTCGGCACCCCTATACCATACTGACCCCTCCAAAACCAACATGACCAACAGGCGCCCTCAAGGTGAGAGCTGACCACTGAGCATAGCCTGCATATAAACACCTGATGTCTGCCTACCGCTGGAAATTTACCTTGAACAGACGCTTGTGATGTTCCTTCACATTAGAGTACCTATGTTCTTATGAATGCTTTCACAGCCCCTGACAGTTGAGCTGCTGTTCAGTCACTGCATTTCATATTGTGCTGCAAAAATCATATTTATATCAACAAAACCAAGTGTATTTTTAACAACAATTTCATCATCTTTGGTTCTGCCCTCCTCTACTCCCTAGAGTGTGTTTGTTAATACTGGAGGGGGGGTGCAGTCGTTACCATATGGACACACAATTGGCCGGTGGAAGGAGATTAATTTTCTATTTGTTTGACGCTTGTAAGAAGCTGTGTAATTATGCACTACACTTCACAATATTTAATGCTCAAGAAATTAATCTGCTCTGCCATTTTTTGTTCATCATTCACTCAGCACTGTGAGCACATGTTAACAAACAAGTCCCACACACAAGTGTTCTGATGTATCCTTTATCCCACACTCCACTACAGGGAAATGTTTCATAAAGCTGAACCTGACTGCACCATTATGTGCTTACTGATGTGTTTTATAAGTAACAGTTTTATCAGAATATACAACTTCGACACTTATTGAATAGGAGCAGGCAAGCCTCCGAAAGTAAGCAGCATAATTCAAAATCTTCCAAAACTGTACGATATAATTTTTTTATTTTTCTGTTTCTGATGATTTAACAATCATATAAACCTTAATCCTTAAAAATTAAACAAAAAATCTATCACAAATTGTAAAAAAAAATCATGTCAGAAAATTCTGAGTTAAAAATGAATTAAGGGCAAAACAGCATAGAGCACAAAAATATCAATGAATACATAAGGCAGACTGAATAGAGCTGCCTCTAAATAGCACAGAATATGCAGCCATCCACCTCATTTCCGTCACACGCTCACCTCTGGATGTGATCACCTGTGCTCAGCTGTTTTCTCTGACACTTTTATGCACAAAAATACAGCAGCAGTTTGAATTCTAGTTCCAAGTCCAGCTTTCATCTGTCCCCCTTTTCCCTCACTTAGATTGAGCTCCTTGTTTCTGCAAGGTTTTGCAGATGTGCCCCAACTCTTAAGTGCTGCTGCTGATTGAAAACAGGATTTCAATGTCCATAGTTTGCTCAGGTTGGCAGTGGAGAGAGGACAGTGGACCTGGCACGCTAGCTCTCAAAACCTTCCTGCCACAATGGTTCAACTCTGCACCCTCCAAGCTTACTCTGCAGAACAGGATCATATGAGGCCATTAAAGCAAAGCTGTGATCCAGGCTACATCTTCTAAATGCAGAAATATTAGGCTGTTAAACAAGTCTAAACTGGATTAACATTTAGGCTTAATTCAGGTTAAGGGTGTAAATGTAACTATGGCATTAGGGCTAATAACAGACACTCAGCTCCAACTGTGGGAAAACGCACTGGATCAGAGCAGTCCCAACTAAGCCCATGTCAGCTATCTTTGTTTTTATGCATTAGATAGCAACATTAATTTCTATTGTCCCCATGTTTTACACATGTTCAGCTTCTTGTACAAAAACCTGCCAGAGGAACATGCTATGACGAAAGGTAACACAATACAAAAGGCCTGCTTTTCCATATGAAATGAAATAAAAAAACACTTTCCAATTATGCTTCAAAAACCAGTCAGTCATCATTCATGCTCAGTAACAAGAACAAGGGAAATCAAAGCAGCAGCTGTCATTTTTTTTCCTCCAGAGTCAAGGATTTTCAAACACATTTAAAGAGCTGAAAATTATCCCAACAATGAAACATTTCAGAGCTTGAAAACAGCCTTATATTTCAGGTTTATTCTGCTATGCCATGATGGCAGGCTGGAGTTTCACAGGACAGCTGGTTAAACTCATCTTTTTACAGGAAGAAACTGCTTGGGAGCCAGGATTGTGAACGAGGCAGGCCGACAGGGTGTGGGGCAGGAAAAACTAGAGAGGGCAAATTCAGCCAGAGAGCTGCAGCAGTCATTACATAAAAGAGGGGGGTTATGTAACGCCTGTGGGTTCGTGTTGAGGAACTTGGGCTGAGCTAAACACATCCAGATGTGTCAAACAGGACTAAAAACCTATACAGGCACTCACATATATATACGTACACACACACACACACACACACACAGAGCAATGAAAAGAGGGAGAAAACACAGCTAAGCTACTCAGACTGCAGAGTAATGCTGAGCCATAAGCATGAAAGGCACGCTGTAGTCTCAGCCAACCTAGTTACCCTAATTCACGAGCAGCAGGCAGACAGGCATTTTAACTGTCCTATTGCATAAAGATCACACAAGCAACATGTACTCGTGTACTATCTGTAGCTTTATCATCTTGCAGACAACACTCCTGCAAACCTAGGTGCCTTTCAGTGCCGGTCAGACAACTAAATTTCAGACATTTTCATTGTTCTGTCCATGAGCCATTACATAAGATCTGAGATTTCCTGATGAGCATTATTGTTGCCTCAGAAACAAGAAGCTGTGCCCACTCTTTTCTCAACACAGAACAACCCGTGCTCCATGTAACATGCCTAAATAACAGACTTCCTGTGAATATGTAGTTCTCATGCATCTGCTGTCTAAGTCCTTTTGCAGCTAGTATAAAAACAAGATTGGTATTAACATTCATTTCTGGAGCTAGCAGCACCCACACCCTGGGTAGAGGCCATTGTGGACGTCACATTCACAGACAGACAAACTGGCTAGAGCAGAAAGGCCCTGCAGCATAAGCAAAGCAACAGATGTTGGCTGGCCCCCAATCCTCTAAGATACGGGAAACCACGTCTACAGTATAGACAGGGATGACAGGATTAGTTGTAAGCAATGCACTGCATCCAAACAAACAGCCCAAATAGGTTATTTTCCACACTGCTGTCAACTCAGCTGACGTTAAATAATTGAGGTGCTGCTGCTTGAAGAAGACGTTACATTGTCTGTAGTGTTGACTGGTGTAGTGCTGTAAGCCATTAATTGGTAACTGAGACAAAATGTCAGTTGTGACATTATGGTTATACATACACACACATACACCCTACTTCCTGGAAGATTAACATGTTCACAATGAGCTAAGGTTTCTCCTCTGCAGGGTTGGGAGCTGAGAACCAGTTTTCAACTTGCTGTGGGATGCTGTGCTGACTATACAATGTGCATCACACGGCTGCTTATGAAGGCATTACAGATGGACAGTTTTAAATTTCTAAAGGCAGCCTTCACTCAGCGTACATATAATTACTACGCTTACATGTACAACCACTTGGCAAACACACGCAAAACTATGAAATGATGGATGCTTTTCTGACAGCAACACAAAAACTATCATATATGGAACATCTGAGCAAATTAACTTGGCTCTCGGAGCCTGTTTTGTTATGCTCAAATTACATAATTTTGCTGTATTGTGTAGTAAGAAATAGAGGGCCTTATAAAACATGACTGAACTAGCTGTGAAGTGCTCTCAGGTCTGGGTTATTTTTATGAGTGAAAAATAACATTTGTTTTTTTCACAACTTCTGCAGGGAAGGCAACATCTCCATATTTGCTTCAGTGGGCTGTTATCTAAAGCAGTAACTAATTAATCAGTGATTTTTCCCTTGACAACTACACACATTACTCTTTTGTGTGGTGTTATAACTGAAGAACATTTAGGGAAGCTATATACACAAACAGAGGCCAAAATCACCTACTGCATTACAATTATTAACTACATCTGCATTTCATTTAACCATACATACTGTGGTACATCCCTACTGTAGTTAGGGACGGGAATCAAGAACCACTTCTAGTTGAGAAGCAGTTCCAACTGGTTCGATCCATCGACATCATTTGCCTTTATGCTTAACGATTCCCTTTTAAATGCCTTCCACTTAGATCCGCGTGCCTTTCAAAACAATGACGCACACTTTCGCGAAAGGCAGTCGAGGAGTTGACGAAGTGTGGCTTAATTTCACACAAAATGACGCCAACGGCGCAACGTGCAATGTCTGTGGCACTAAGATTTCAAGCAATGGTGGAAACACCAGCAACAATCTGAAACATTTGTAAACGCAGCACAGCATTAAATATCAGGAGTGTGTTTGATGCTCTACGCCGCCGGTCAACGAGTGCTTCTCAGTCTCAGCAGAGCAGTGAAGTTACGTATTAGTGATGTGTTGGTCGCGAATGAGACAGCTCTTTTATGTGAACGATGGGAGCCGGCTCACGTCCGAGAGCATTTTTTTGTTGTTGTTGTAAATGAATACAAGGCAGACCTAAAGAGGCAGACAGCACCCCCTCCTCGAGGGATTGAACAACTACAGAGCAGTTATCTATCTTGTTCAGTGTTCAGAGACTCATAATAAAAATTTGTGTTGTTGACACTGAAAACCTGTAAAGGCCTACTATTTTTCCCCACACACAAAATCCACAGAATTGATAAAGGAATCGATAAAGAATCGGATCGATAAGCACAATCGATAATGGCATTGGTATCAATAAAATCTTATCGGTTCCCATCCCTAACTGTAGTACAACTGGTCTGGCTGACTTTTACTTTCAAGAGATGAAAGAAGAAACAAGGGAGATAGTTAATGAACATGATAGCAAAGCTGTAGTCAATGAACACACATCATTACGACATAGTACTGATCCACTGACAAAAAAGCAATAAAAACTGTCATTACATTTATGGAATCTTATTTTTACATGCTGATAAGTTTGTAGTTGTTAACAACAGTGACAGTTGCAAGAAGCTGGAGTTGCTTCACTGAAAAGAAAAAAAAACGTTTACAATGGTTGGCCAATGGAAGGTTTTCATGGTAAAGCAGGAACAAGATGTGTCATGTTTTCTATAACAAAGATTAACTGCAGCTCAGATTGAAGCAAATGAGGAAAAATTTGTTTGCTACCAAGAACTTTGCTTGGTTGTTTAAAAATGTTAGAGAGTGATTGTTCAAGATTAAAAAAAAAAAACCCAGCAGTGACTGTAATGAGTGAGGAAGGAATCATGTTACCATTGTACAGACTTAGCTGCCATGCCCATACCGTATAATCTGAATAATCTCAGTCTCTTGCAGGCGCTTCCTCAAGAATGTAACTACACGAAGTAAGTTGTACTACATCAGCTGTTTAGAGACTGCAAGAAATATGATTGGTCCACTTAGCATCTGCAACCAACCAGAGCCATTTATCTATTAATTAGAGCATGAACATAATGAGAGAATGGAAAGAATTACGTTGGGTATGTAAAAAATGCACATCTTGATAATATATGACAGATATTCTGTGCTATGAAAAAGGGTCAAATCTTATGCTGAACTATCTATCAGTACCCCTCTCATGAACACCTTGATGGTCTTTCATTAATGCAGCCTTTAACCTCATTTATGAGATGTTATCATCTGGTATTCATTCACAAAAATGCACACAATAAATACTCCTGATCCCAGCCAAATTCAGAATGACAGTATATGGATGTACAAAAATATCAATTTATCTTTATCATCACCATCATATTATACTTGAAATTCCTAATTTAATTAGAAAATATTATTCAAAATGATGCCATTTCCAATTTTTGTCATCATGACCCTTATGTAACTGACCTTCTGACAAATCTAATTCACTAGTACAGACAAATACACATCACTATATATATTCTATTGTATTGAAAGTATATTTACTAATAGCTAAAAACACCTACAACTTTAAAATGTTTTTGTTTTCATAAACCCTCAAGATATGTCTCTTTTTCACTCTCGTAACAATAAATAATTAGTGAGATTGATCACTTAACAAATAACAACCTAACAAATAATTGATCAACTGATTCCATAATAAAAAAATTGTTGAAAAAGATTGATTGATGTGAATGCAAATGTTAAATCAACTTGTGATTACTTCTGTACATCCCAAACATAAAGTCTTCCTTATAGTAAATAAGAGAAATGCTAGTATAGGACTTAATTACTCCCATGTGTAAATTTATGACTCAAGAATCAAGTAAAATGTACATGAAATTGAATTAGAAAAAAAGGAAATTTCAGGCCTACTTTTCTCTTCCATGATCAAATTCCCTTTCTAACAAACTTCCTGATTACAGCTTTCACCCTCACTTTCTACATATTTACTTCTTCACGTTATATTATGGACGGTCATTATCTGAATACAAAAGCACTCAACTTTTTTTAATTGTCATTTCCTAGTTTAACATATTTATAGTTTAACATAGTTTAACAGAACAAAATTGTAGAGTTTGGTTTTAAGAGCTAAAGATCTGATGTAATAGGCACAGTGGGAATTTACCAACCCAAAAGAATTCTTTGTCTGAAACCGGTGTTTACATAAACTACTCATTATCACTTATCAATCTCTCTCACTCTTCCTACTCACTCAGACCACATAAATGTAACTCTGTCCCTTCTCCTTGAAAATGACGTGCTTTAAGTGCCCTAATGCCTCCTTTGACCTTAAACGGAGAAGATAAAGTATTAATATATTACATTACAAGCATTTTTTGCTACTTTTGAATCAAGCTTGCAACACAAAGAGACACACACATACACTTCCTGTTGTTCCAGTTATGAAGATATTTAGGTCAAAGGTCTAAAGTCAGCACAGTACAGGATAAGAAAATCAGTGTTCTTAGCTACTTCGTTAATAATCTACCCAATCCTACACAGGTCAGTTAGTCCATTAACGCTGCTGACCCACCTGCTGTATTTTTTTTGCCTCTTTCCAAACACTAATGACACAGAAATGTGTACTCTGATGTGAACTTCCCATGGAATAAATTTGCAGGCTCCTGCTGAGATCAACCTGACATCACAACAGGCAGTGTGTAAAAAAAACATAAAAACTCACACCTTCTGCAAAATCACCATCACCCCCAACTCTATGATACCTCTTGGTTTCAGTTTAAATCAAAACATTCACTGGCTCCGTGGGCGCTCACTTGTTCGCTCTGCAGATAAACAGAACGTTCAGTTTCAGCCTTGGCCCTCTCAGGAGGAAGCACTGTGTGACGAGAGAGCTTTTTACTTTCAGTCCGTTCGAGCCTGAGCATTCTCCACAGGATGATAGCGCCCACACAACTATACTCGCTCTCTGGGCAAATGGTATCTCTACCCCTCCCTGGAGTTTGACCCAACCACTACTAAGGCAGACCAGGCAGTTATAATTGTCATCACCACCTGCTAGGTCTGAGCAGCATATTGCAGGGCCCAGAGATACAGGGACTTTCACAGGGCAGTTGAAAAGAGTAATGTGAGATACTCGAGTATGAGGCAAGTGTAACAGAACTATGTAGTCAACTATTAATGAATCATTTCATAAAAATACTGCTTTCAATATTCAACTTCAGCTTTAACAGTGAATTATTGTGCAGTGCTGCAGATATGTACAGCTCTAAATAAGCCTGATGTGTCAGTGAGTGGGGACATTTTTACTTACATTTTGACATGTCGCTGCTCAATGTCCACTCTGGCCAGCTCCTCCTCCTCCAGGTCAGAGTCCCCTCCAGAGCTACTTTCTGTTACGTCTGAGTCAAAGGCGCTTTCTGCTGAATGAAGGTTGGCTGATCCGCTCAGATACAGCCTCTCCAGTTCCAAGGGCATTGAGCCACTTTTCAGGAAGCGACCGAGGCCATCTCTGTTGTTTGAGGAAGAGTGGCGGCCAGTCCTCCATGTAGCTGTGGGGGTTGCTGTCTCCGATTTGCGGTTACCAGACAGTAGCCGGTTGAGAGCGGAGTCCAAGAACCCACCCAGCTGCTGTTGAATGTGCCGCTCCACCTGTTTGGCCTGTACCACCTGAAGACGTTTGCGCAGGCGCCTTAGCCGGCTTTCGATCTCAGCTTGGCGGCTGCTGTTGAGAAGGGTGCGCTCCCTAACATGAGCATCAAGGCTGTCCGAGGAAGAACTACAGGGTAGAGGAGGCTGTGGTGCAGGTGTGCATGGTGGAGAGCCCTGCTGGCTGCTACCTGGTTTCTCCCTATCAGAGCCCTGTGGCTGACTGGTAGGCGTGTGTGAATCAGCCTCCTCTAAATTTACTTGTTCATTGGGGTTGGGGCTGTCATGGGTAAAGGGGGAAAGTGCAGCAGACTGAAGCACTGGCGGTTCAAGGTTTTTTCCATCAGTATTTTGAGAAACCCCAGAGGAATGCTTCTGTTTAAGGGTTCCTTTCACCGGGATATGCCCTGATAAGGTAGCTGTCAAGGTCTCAGAGTCCAAGGGCAGGTTCTGCGCCTGAGAGTCTGTGGTGGCAGAGGGCTTGTCACCATTCACTGCCACTACACAGCCAGAGCCAGACATAGTGGCCAGCTTTTTGGCCAGGCCATTGACAGGTGCCATGGGCTGGCCACCTCCGTTGGTGCTGCCACTCATGAGGCTTTTGAGCTGGCCGCCAGAGAGTTCAATCGCCTGCCTCTTCCTCAACAGGAAGTCTCCTCCGCCGTTGAGCAGGGAACTGGGCAGGATTCTGTGGCTTTTCAACACAGACTGTTTGATGAGGACTCCTTGCAGCTTGATTGACTCCTTAGTTGAAGGGACAGGTGTCACATCAGAGCATAGGTAAGAAGCCACCAGTGGCTGGAGCTTGCCCAGGGCCGAGGCCTGGGCCACAGAGTCGGCTTGGGGCTGCTGTTGCTGCTGTTCCTGGTCGCCGCCACAAAAGTCAAGAGGGCACTCTTCAGAGGCGGCCTTGCACTTAGCGGAGCCGCTGCTATGGATGAGGATGTTGCTGGCGTTACCGTTGTTCTCTGCACTGGCCGGTGAGAGACTTGAGGATGGGGCAGCCAGTTTGAAGCGGATGTGGTGAGCTTCGGCTGGGGCGTCGGTGAGAGCGGGCGCCATCGCAGCCATGCAGTGCAGAGGGACGGGCACCGCGGCCTGCTCCACACCACCCGCTTACTGCCCCACCTGAGGACAGCCTGGATAGAACAAAGAATAAAGACACAAAGAGAGGGGAGATAAGAAATAGAGTTAAACACACTAGTCTAATGAAATTAAGCACATTAAAATTTTACCTAATCAAATTCTGATCTTTGTTGATGTAGGAGGGTGTTGGGTGGAGATATTTTCCTATCAACAATTCACAGGTAACATTAACAACCTTGTACAGCTATGGACCTAAAACCACACAGTGTAAACAAACATACACAAACACGACCAAAATAATGTTTAAATACTCTTTTAACACTGAAACCAGTAGCTCTGCAAAAGTTTGCCTGACATTAGTGCGCTCATGATTAATCAGAACATTATGTTTTGGGGAAATGTATAAAAAATACAACAGTTCAAAGAACTCAAAAACATGCTTTAATATCAGTAAAATACAAAAATGTTTTGACATAATTTTCCATATTAAATAGTATTTCTTAAGTGTTAAGTAACATGAAGGTATGCTCTACCTACATACAATAAGGATACAACTGAACTACTTGCACTACAGGTTCTGTGAGCCTTTGGAGTCAGTGGAAAACTACTAACCACCACCTAAAAAGAAAGTACCATTCCTCAAACATTTGGCACCAAATATAATCAGTACAAATGCACTAATACCACTGCTTAATAACAAGTCCAACATACTGACTCGAACACAAACCAAGTGAATGTCTACAACTAATCTAGTTAAAGGCCTAATCAAATGAACGGGTGACTCATTGACATTTTGCTGACCTGCTGGCTGCGAGTGTTGCTAAAAATGATCCTACAAAGCAACTGGGAAAAACACTCCAGGTGAATGAAAGGAACATCTCTTATGATTGAATGTGCTCATTTATTTCTGACCATTTCCTTAGCTTTTGCAACATTTCAGAAAATGTAATCTAACTAATTGTAATAACAATAATGTATTTTTATACAGAGGAGCTCTTTTGCTACATTTAAATAAATATAAAAAAAATTACTGATATGCCCTGACCTTGGGGAATGGGACACTGACAATATACATAGGATAACAACAGACATCTGAGCGGAATCCCAGGCCAATAAATAATTCCCACAACACCAATGCATGTGTGAACAAGCCTTCATTGTCATTTACTTACAAGGCTCCTCTTTAAAGAATAAGCACTGGAATTAATTTCTGATGAGGCAAGAAACAGGAAAAGCCGATGCAAATTGTCCAAACCCCACTGCCCTACATGTGCCCTGGTAAATCAGTGTGCAGCAGGGTTCCACACAGGCAGTGTAAGTAGGTGGATTTAGGCCCCAGCATTAGTCCAAAGCACATGATGTCATACTGACAAGGTTCCTGTGTCAATTTCAGCTGAACCTATTAGACCTTCCCAATTTCCCAAATAATATTGCAGGGAAAATAATCAAATTAAATATGTAAGGAGAATGATAATGACGTGATTAAGATAAGAGTGTTGTTTCCTGCCATTCACACCGATTGTAAGTATATCCACATTTAACTTTTTTCTTTTTAAAAAAGCCTCCCTTCAAAAAACACGAGATAAAAGCGAGCTGCATCTCCACGTATCGTCTGCAGGGTCAGATGAATGGGGGCTCAGTATTTCACCGCAGTTTCTAGTCAGCGCGCACTACGCCATGTTGGTATTTCCGAAGCAGATTATGCAATGCAATTCATCTACCTAAAGCCGCCCATTCCGCTCCAAACACACCGAGCGTGTTCATGCTATAGGGGAGGAAATTCATTAACTAACGTTAGTAATTGCATAACTATGATTCACATGCATTATAATAACAGAATACCTGTAAACTGCCTGAATAGAGATGCGTCAAAAATGTCCACATCAAACGTTAGCCAACCATAACGTAATCACCAAAATGTCTTCCTGATGTTTACAAAAACATTTGTAAATATTACAAACTGGCGCTTCTGCTCTTGGTGCGTTCAAGTGTAATTACGTTATTTCATAATCTTGAAATCTCAACAGCTTCAGCAGAAAGACAGACAAGATGAGTGTTTGTAGCATTGAGCCGTACCAGAAAAAAAAACAGCAAACCGATCACGACATGTACTAAACTCCCAAGAACCGAAAGATAAATATCTGGATAAACCCGGTCACTTTGTACACTGCGTGCAAATTAATGCGCTTCGCTTCTGGCTAACGTTAGCTGAGGAAAGCTGCTGATGCAAGAAACACAACCTGCTCGCAAGCTAGCGTGCGGGTCTCATAAGCCAACTGCAGTGAAACGCTACCTACCCTCCTCACATTATGTCTCATTTTGTAGCTTTCGTTTCAATATAGCGACTTAACGATTTCTGTTTTCGTTCCTGCGGAAAGTCGCCTTTCGGCTTTACGCAAATCTCGTTAGGCAAGTAAACATTTTAGTCACTTGCTACGTAACATACGCTCACCTTCCTCAGTGATAGTTTTAAGTCAATAACGCCCAGAGTAATATATATTGTACGCTAAAAGCCATGGAAACACATGCACTACCGTGAGAGTTAAGCCCCGGCTCTGTAATATCTTAAACGTTAATATTTTGGCCACAATGACATGACACCTTCACTGGTTATGGATCACAACTTATTTTAAACAACGCTTTAAGACCTAATGCAAAGTGGAGACATGGTGTGCATTGCAATTAGACTACGGAAATAAATAGAGGCAGTCTGTTGTTGTAAACAAATGTAAATCTATTTACTTGAGCATACAAGCTGGTAGTTAATGGAAATAGTACATAGCGTTAATGCAGATATGTCTAAAGCGGAGAAGTTGGGAGTAGACCTTGCCAGTCTAGCTAGCTCGCTAACAAAGAAAAAGGAGGAACCTACCACGTGACGAGGTTGCACTATCCGAGGGAATTTCGGCAACAATCCCCTGCAGTTTTGGTGGAAAAAAACAAGGGTGCTAACACAAAAACGCGGCTCGATTCGATCACTCTGCCATTAATTAATCCAAAAATGCTGCCAGATTGCCGAAAGGGGCCCGGTTGACAGAGCCGCTCGGGTTCGTTCCGGATTCAGGCAATGGGCGAATCAACGATCTACACCTTGCTCGCCAGCTAGCTCGCCTCGCCGCTACAGCGAATATAAGGCAAGGCCGTGAAACAGTCCTTTCTACTCCAAATTACTTCAAATGTAGGCGATTTCACGGCAATCCTTTACCAAAAATTCCGATTCTCAGTAAGCAAAAGGTAATCCAGATGGCAGTTTGTCGCGGGGCTTTTTCTCTCGTTTTAGGGAGAGACGCTTAGAAAATGGCGGCTAGCTCCGCTCCCTCGGATTTGAGTCTGACAAACATAGAAGTGCTCTGTGTGTGTGTATGTGTGTGTGTGTATATGCGTGTGTGTGTGTGTGTGTGCGTGTGTGTTGCTTGCTGGTAGGCGGGAGACATTTCTCATACTCACCACTAGAGTAAAGGGCAGATAAGAAACGGCAAAAAGCTCAAAAGAAGATACCACAGGAGGGCATTGTCTTCCAAAACACAAGGCGATCTCAATTCTGCACTTGTTAGGAACAGACTTTTATAAAGGTACTGCTGGTAGTTCAACTGGAAACACTGCTGCTGCTGTTTAAAGGGATTCTGCAGGTTAAATTTATGACTTTTAAAGGCCTTTTTAGCACCAGGCAGAATGTAATCTAATACTTATTTCTCCCTTATACCATCCAAAGTATGTAAATATAATAGATAACCAGTAGGGACTAAATTAAGTAAAAATATTTGTTATATCACATTATTTATCAGTCAGTGACTAATTTTCTTCTACTTCTGAGCTGCTGTAACAAGTGAATTTCCCCTGTGGGGATCAATTAAGTTTCATCTTATTTCCAGCAGAATATAACAATAATTCCTATTGATATAATGATGACTGGAACTCCAATCAGACAGCTATATTTATATTATTTGTTAACAAATTTGTTAGGAATTTACACCTAATTTGTAGGGGGCAGTTGTGTCAAAATGTAGTTTTAATAACTCAACTATACTGATTTATATTATATTTTATTTTCTTCTGTGTCAGGTAACTAACACACAGGAAACCTTGTTAAAGGTAGTATTATTAAATAGTACATTATTCCCCGAAGCCTGAGTGAACATGTGTTTGTTGTCTGACCAACAGTCAAAAACACAAACATGCGGAGTTTACTGAACTGAGTCATATAAAAAGGAGAAATAAGAGTTAATATTAATATTTCTATTCAAAATTGTTACTATTTAATTTCCTGATAAGCTCCTCTAAATCCAGGTATGTGCTTGTCTTGAAAGGTTTTTTCAAAACACTGAATTCAGTTCAGCCTTAGAAGGTATATTAAAAAAAAAGTCTTAATTCACACAGGTCTTAAATATTTTCTTGCCTGCTATCAACAGTAACATTAGTTATAATTGTGTTTGTATGTTGTGGGCTGTCTGTCAAACAGTGCTTTTAGTGCTAGCCACCAGAGCTTGGAGGCTCCACAACTCAAATGTCAACTTTAGAACTTTTTTTTCAAATAGATTTATCCACCCATCAATTTTCTGTTTCTTATCTGGATGCAGGTAATGTTATGTGATTTATTATATTAAAGGTTATTATATATTTTGGCAAAATGTAATATAAAAGTCAATAAATTAATGTTCTTAAAATAAACAACTGGAGGTCCTATTGTCTCTACTGGTTTTCCTTAATTTTTTGAATGGCATGACCATGACAAGTGCATTAAATTGCATTCTGTGTGGTATTTGAGGGATCCTAAATTAATTTGGTGAACACTGCAGAACGACTATGATTCACTATGTTTCCTATTTCTATTAGTTGTTACAGGAGAGATCACCCCTTTAGGAGAACTGAGCCCAGTTGAGACTGCCTGTCTCTCATGTCACTTTTTTACAGGAAATAGATCGCCCACCACTACAGCAACTGTTGTGAAGGTGCAGCAAGTGGCCACTTGAAGGAGCTCTTTCCCACATGATTGTTAAATGCAGCCATAATCTAAATATAATACAAAAGCATATGCTGTTTGGAAACACGGGGGAAAACAAAACCTACCACATCTACGTGTAACAGAGTCCCGTATAACTGACTCTGTTACATAACCTCATCCCTGAAACTACAGGTGGACATAAGCAAAGACAACAATATAATGCAATTAAATACATTAGCATTTAAAGGTTGTTTTTTTTGTGTGTCAGAGGTTTGTGATTGGTGATTTGAGGCTGTAGCTAGATCTCTGTGTTGTAATGGATTAAGAAAATATAATAACTAACAATGTATTATTACAACAGCACAAACTGCAGCCTTAAGAGATTTAGGAGTAGATTTCTGACAGTCTCAACCAAACTGTACATACAAACTTTAAATAAGGCTGGGTGTTGTTATATGTTAGATGTCTACAAAAGCATCTGTACAAACATTTTATATTAAAAGATAGTCAAAAATTATATTGTTTTAGATTTAAATTGGGTAGTACCAGATCAAATAGTAAAATACCCACATTACAAATTTGAGCTACTGAGGTTCTGACCCACCTTTAAAATGCAATATTGTTCCTTGGCTTTTGTATTGCATTGCATTTGATTGCATTACAATGTGTCCATCACATGTAATCTTGACTACAAGAAATAGGACTTGGCATTTATCTGTGTATGCGTGAGGTCTTGTGTTATCATTTAGCTATTGTGGCTTGTATGCATTGGCTGATAAGAGAATTAATCCCTTAAACTTGAAAAACATGTAGTTTCAAATTAAGGTGAAGAATTCAATACATTTTTTGACCAGTACTACATGTGACACTGTTGTATCATCTCCAGAGTTGTAACGTCTTCAGTTCTTTGATGTTTTATTCTGTTCAGTTGATCAGTATTTTTGGCACTTAGAGTAATTAAAGCATTTGACATTGTAAAGGTGTTGTACAATATAAGTACTTGTGCAATAGAAATAATTGGGTCTAACTTTCCTTTTGCTTTTAAATTAAAATATAATTTTAGATAAGTTATTGTTACAGTACTGTTTTGGTGTTGCACCCCACAAAGATCATTTCACAATGTCTACAGTACTAATATCTCTTTTTATATTTTGGTTCAGGTTTAAATTTCAACAGTAACTCATCTATTTATACTTTTGCTTTAGGGACTACGGTTTATCATGCTTATTTAGTTTATCTAATATGACTTTTAAATAAACAGATTTTCTGGGAAAATCTTGATATTCCCAGAAATGACTTGTTGCTCAATGGATGTTTACAATGCTGGGCTACATCCTCTGATGAGTAATACCACATAAATGTTTATAATAAAGTTATGCATTATTAATTTAAGCCTGGTATTAAGCAGAAGAGGGTTATGTAAGTAGTAATAGCATTTAGATGGGTTCAGTACGTCTCATCAGCCAATGCATGTAACTTGCAGTGATGTACACCGCTTTTACTGTTAAGTAATGCAAATGAATGCGTGTCACTTACTTCCTACAGATCCTGCAAGACCACTGTGCATTATCAGCTTACTATAGTGGAAATGCATAATAAATTAGTAATTATCTATGTGTGTATGTGCATGTGTGAATGAGAGAGAGCAACTGCCAATCCATCTGCCCTGAAAATTTATATCTACATAAAAGCAAATGTTTAGGATCATATAGCTGACGTCTGATAGTTATCCAATGTGCTGCAGTCATCCTCCAAACAGGTAATTGGTAAAAACATCTGTCCATCCATCTTCTCATATTACTCCATGGCACAGTGGCAACAGGTTATGCAAAGTTGCCTAAACCTCCTGCCCCAAAGCCACATCCTTGGGCTCCTCCTAGGGGATTCAGAGGCATTCCCACACTTCATGGGGTATGTAATCCATCCGGCATGTTTTGGGTCTCCCCAGTGTCTGAAATACCTCCTCAGGGATGTATCCAGTGGTTATGCATCTCATGTGGCTCCGTCCCAAGGAAAAGAGCTGCTGTTCCTTTAGGGGCAACTCACTTAGTATCCAGAATATTATCCCATGGCCACAGGTGAGTACTGGTTGAGAACATCACTCTTACGCTCAACCAGAAACACAAAATAAAACCTAAATTATTATTATTATCATTTAGGAATACCTTTAACTCCACTGTTGAAATAGCTCCTTCCCAGGCAAAAGAGCAGTTTTTCCTCTAGGGGTGAACCCGAAAAAAGGCAACTAATTTTGGCCACTTGTATCCACCATATCATCCTTTTTTCAGAGCTACTGACCATAGGTGAGGGTCGGTTGAGAGCATCGCCCCTAGGAGCAGCCAGAAGCAGCACAGAAAAATAAAAATAAAAACTAAATAATAATTATTATTATTTAGGAATACCTTTATCTCCATTGTTGCAATTCTCCATTCAATAATCCAAGGGGCCATAATTCCAGTTATCACACGAGGAAATAGCATGACACCTAATGATAAAAAGAGATAGAATAGTGAGACGTTAGTTGAATCCTTCTTAAACAATTCAGCACAGAGTCACGCTCAGTAAATAAAGTTGTGAGTCTCCAGGGTTTTTTTTACGTCCAGCTGGCATGCTAACGCTAGCTGGCTAACGTAACCTATCATTGAAAATTTATAATGAAAAAGTTTTAAACGTTGAATAACGTCAACACCGAGCTTAGAAATTTAAAAGTAAGTTATGAAAGGGACTTCTTTGTTGATTATGCTGTAAAGAATGTGCTGCCAGTGATTTAAGTGATAGAATTAAGAGTACTTTCTCTACACGCTAGTTCAGAGGCTAACGTTAGCGAGGCTGATGCCGCTAGCAGGCTAAGCTAACGCTCGTTAGCTTCTTTGCTTCCCGATCCCACAGTGAGTTCTCAATGACTACCGTTTATTTTGCACGTTTGGCATAAAAGTGTACTAAAAAAATTCAGCCTGCTCACGTCAAACAGCCGAAGGTTTAACCAAATGAGTATTTTTTCCTGACAAGCGGAGCGTTTGTTAATTTTAGAGAAAATAACAAGACAAAATCTTACTTACCTGCTTGTCCTGTTACTAACCGTTTACGACTTGATAACAACCCTCCCCTCACGTTGCCATTGGTCGACGCTTCAAATCCAGGCTTTCTATTCGCTCGCACAGTTGTCAGTCTTCGCAAATGCCCGTACAGCGGAAATGTGGACGAAAGTTCATAGCACGAAACTTCATTATCAAAAAATATTGTTTTTGTTTGGAAACGTTTTCTCAAGTCTCACAACCTCCCCGTCATTTATAAATAACTGCGTTTACTGTGCCATTAAAAGACTGTTATTTACACCACTCGCATGCTAGCTACTCACAGCCAGCCTGATGTATGTTCACTCAAAGTAACTACAATATCTAATATTTTTAACGCTTTGCCT